GCTCGCGTTCAAAACTCTCAACTTTTAAAGTGAAACGCCTCCGCGAAATACCATGACTTCCTCGGTGAAGCTGACTTTTGCCTTCCCTAAAATAATTCCCGACTGTTTCAGTAAACGTCCGGCGTACCGTTACATGCTTTTAAGCAACGCTGGATAAACTTCGACTTCAAAAGAGTGCTGCGGACGCCATGTTTGAACCTGCGATGTAACTTGTTTTCTGCTCGGCCCGTCGGGTGGAGCCCAACACGCGCGCGCGCACACCACAAGAAAATGCGTCAGTCTCACCCTGTACTGACAGACACACACCCACTGTGTCCTATACATACACTTATATACCAACAGACTCTTATACATACACTTATATACCCACAGAGTCATATATACATACACTTATATACCCACAGTGTCCTATTCACACACTTATATACCCACAGAGTCATATACATAGTCATATACCAAGTCATATATATATATATACACTTATATACCCACAGTGTCCTATTCATACACTTATATACCAACAGACTCTTATACATACACTTATATACCCACAGTCATATATATATATATATATATATATATATATATATATATATACTTATATACCCGCAGTGTCCTATTCATACACTTATATACCAACAGACTCTTATACATACACTTATATACCCAGAGTCATATACATAGTCATATACCAACAGTCATATATATACACTTATATACCCACAGTGTCCTATACATACACTTATATACCAACACTCTTATACATACACTTATATACCCACAGTCATATATATATATATATATATACACTTATATGCCCACAGTGTCCTATTCATACACTTATATACCAACAGACTCTTATACATACACTTATATACCCAGAGTCATATACATAGTCATATACCAACAGTCATATATATACTCATACACCCACAGTCTCATATACATGCAGTCATATACCCACAGTCTCATATACATGCGATCATATACCCACAGTCTCATATACAGTCATATACCCACAGAGTCACCACACACCACATGCACCAGTACTTATTTTGTGTTACTACTGCCCTGTAATCTTCCCACATCCACTACTGTTAAAATTACCTTTCCTGAAGTGGGTATTTACATTTACTCAATTTCACAAACTTAAGCACAAATTTATGGAGGTCCATTACTGCCAGGTAGAGGAGAAAAAAAACGTTTAATTCTCTGGCAGCAGTATGTCAAACTTTTGCCTTTGTATCTCAAAATAATTACTTTCTTAAAAAATGAAAACCATTATTTCAACGTATTAAGTCATTTAATTGGGAGAGTAATTTAAAATCTGTATATTAAACATATATAATTAAGAAAAAAATATACATAATACATAAATAATGATACATAACTGTATCATTATTTTGAGATACTAAGTCAAAATGTTCCAGATAATATGTCACAAATTCAAGAAAATGTCCTTATTATGACATGATATTCATTAATTTGAGATAGTAAGTCAAAACTTTAATAGTAATTATCTCTACATAGTGAGCAATTATTTTCAGATAAGAAAGTAAACAATTTAGAGAAAGTAAGTCAATATTTTGAGATAACTGAAAAAAAAAAACCTTGAGATACTAAGTTACATGTCAAGAAAATGTCATTATTTGAAATATTACTTCTAAATTTTTGACATACTGCTGCCAGAAACAGAGCTGGAGAGAAAAAAACATTTTTTTTCTGCTGTACCTGGTGTGAATGTACATCCATAGCTTTAGTCTCTAATTTTTAAGTTAATCATGTTCTTTTGGTGAGCAGAATCTGTATTGCTTTGCAACTGGACACACCTCTCACTTTGGAGCTTTAGCATTCTATCCTAAGACATAAGAGATTACAAAAAAGAATGTTGCCTAACATACACTTTAATTACAAAAGTATTGGGACACCTACAGGAGCTTTTAAGACATCCCATTCTAAATCCATAAATATGCATAAATATGGAGTTAGTCCCCAGCTTCCACTCTTCAGGGAAGCTTTCTACAAGATTTTGGAGTGTGTCTGCGGGAATTTTTGCCCATTCATCCAGAAGAGCATTTGTGAGGTCAGACAGAGATGTTGGACGAGAGGGCCTGGCTCACAATCTCCACTTTAGTTCATCCCAAAGGTGTTCAGTGGGGTTGAGGTCAGAGCTCTGCATGGACGAGTCTAGTTCTTCCCCACCAAACTCACTCAACCATGCCTTTATGGACGTTGCATTGTGTACAAAGGTACAGTCATGCTGGAACAGAAAAAGGGCCTTCCCTAAACTGTTCCCACAAAGTTGGAAGCATAGAATTGTGTAAAATGTCTTGGTATGCTGAAGCATTAAGATTTAGACTAGGCTAGAATAAGTGTCCTAGGCCAACCCCAGATAAACACCCCAGATAAACAACCCCATAGCATTATCCCTCTTCCACCAAACTTTACAGTTGGCACAGTGCAGTCAGGCAGGTAATGTTCTCCTGGCATTTGCCAAACCCAGACTCGTCCATCAGACTGACAGATAGAGAGGTGATTAGTCGCTCCACAGAATACGTTTCCACTGTTCAGAGCCCAGTGGCGGCGTGCTTTACACCATTCCATTCAACACTTGGCATTGTGCTTGGTGTGGCTTGCATGCAGCTGCTCAGCCATGGAAACCCGTGCCGTGAAGCTCCCAGGACACAGTTTTTGTGCTGATGTTGATGCCAGAGGAGGTTTGGAACTCTGCAGTTATTGAGTCAGCAGAGCATTGGCTACTTTTCTTCACTATGTGCCTCAGCACTCGGTGACTCGCTAAGTAACTTTATGTGGTCTGACACTTTGTGGCTGAGTTGCTGTGGTTCACTCATGGTAGATCGTGAAATATCTAGGAGGGAAGAAATTTCATGAACTGACTTGCAATGGAGGCATCCTATTACAATACCACACTCAAATTCAGTGAGCTCTTTAGAACGACCCATTCTTTCACAAATGTTTGTAAAGGCAGACTGCATGGCTAGGTGCTTGATTTTATACACCTGTGGTAATGGGACTAAATGAAACACCTGAATTCATTGATTAAGAGGTGTGTCCCAATACTTTTGTTTTGTCCATATAGTGTACTTCAGTTTCTATGGTTTGAGAGGCAGAACCTTCTCCATGGACAGTTACAGAGGGTGGCAGCATTCTAGGGTAACAAAATTTCTAAAACTACAATTATATGCCACTTTTATGTCAACAAACTATTTGTAAGGCTTCTCAGAAGATTTCTGCTCTAGCGGAGTTCACTATGTGATGAGCATTCCAGCTCACAAATAAATGTCAAACGGCTCTGCATTCAGTACCATCGTTCCTGTTTATTTTGTTCCCAAAATTAGCCAAGTCAGCGATATTATCTTTTATTTAAACTTATAACTACCAGCTACCAAACTATCAATGAATACTTAACAAAAGCTGCATTATGTTTGCTGTTTTAAGAAATCAAATAAGTCAGATGTTGTTTAGAAGTTTCACTGGATAAATTTCCAAAGGCACAAATCACAAATCAGGCAGATGAGCAAAATGCAGACAAATGAACGAACAAACAAACAAATAAATAAATAAGCAAGCTGTTTGATGCAAGTAAGTTCAAAAGACATGTCACTAAAGTTCACAGGAACTTTGATTGGAACAAGGCTTTATGGTCAGACAAGACAAAAAGCTTTTCGACAACAAATACCAGAGGTGTATCTAGCCTTAAGCATCAAAGCTGTGCAGGAAAGAAACGACTGTGACGTATGGTGGTGGACCTTCTCTGAAGTTTGAAACTGTTGTTGGGACAAATTACATCATAGTAACGTCATTAGTATGTAAGAACCCAAGGACCCTTGCTGTCTTGCCAAAGGAAGTGTGTACAAAGTACTAAATACAGGGGCATCAAAAACAAATATTTTTCAGAAAAAAATATTATTTTTCTTTGAATAACCGTACTTCACTGAAAGTTTATATTTCGTACATTTTTCATTGTGGGATAAGGCTGATACACTGTAAAAAAATGACTCATCCGTTTAACCTTAAAAATGAAGTAATATGGTAAATAAAGTAAACAGACTAGTTCTTTTCAACCTAAACTCTTTGAATGAAGGATTTTTGTTCAAAGCAAAGTAATTTTTTGAGTTGAATGAAACTAGTTTATTTGCCTTTTACCATACAAAGTAATGCTTTAAGGTTTAAACCTTTTTTTTACAATTTACATAAAAAAATTTCAGTCTTATTTTTTCATCCCTCCATATACATTCAGTGTTTCATGCATACATTTTTGTAATTTTCTTACATTTGAATGTTGATTATTTTTCATCCTTTGTATGTAAACATTGAAAAAAATAATTCATTTACCTGATTTAAAGGTGGACATGTCCAAATAAAAAATGTATATTGACTGTGTATCTAAACTTAGAGACAAAAATCTATGGAATCTATTCAACTCATGTACACATAATGTATACATTTAAATCAAGTACTCTACCGTTCAAAAGCGTGGAATCACTGTTTTCAACAATATCTATTTAGTTGCAGGTACATGTATTATACGATTGCTACAACTCTAAACCTTCTTAGGTTTCAACTAATGACGAAATCTTAGATGTGTCCAGAATGATGAACAGAGATGTAGATGATTCCACAATTGAGAAAGCCTTATAAAACTAAGAATGAAATTAAGATCCAAAATCCATATTTGAAGAGAAATAAAATTTTGATGCAATAACTTTACAAGAAATTGCTCTAAATGGATTACAGTATATTATTTTCATCTAATAACTTCTTACAGGTCCCAAAAACGTATGTTGATTAAAATGTCTTAGAGTACCTTTCGGTGTCTAGCTTATAGCATTTCTACTTACACTATATAAATAATGGCAATTAACACGACAAGTGATGCCAAACTTTTGGCCGGTAGTGTAGATTCAATGCATTATTTTTTCCATATGAGCAAATTTGAGAGCAAGTATATTTAATCAAAAAAGGGACAGACCAATCAGTTTAATGTCAGAGATAAGATTTTAATGTCAGCCAAAATCAATAGCTACTGTTTATCACACCTTTAAAAGGACTAACAGTGACAACGGAGATGCAATGTGGAAGAATAAACCCAATAAACAAACAAACAAACAAACAAACAAACAAAAAAACACAACAGTATTGGTCCATATCCACTAGCATGAACTCCAATAGCTGCTCACTCAGGCCAGCTGAGTACATATGTAGTGTGCACCTACAAAAAGCAGGAGATTTCATCTTGTGTAACAGAACAATTTAGGCTATCTTTACCACTGTCGGCTTAGAAGCTCATATTAAATGGTCCACTCCTCAATTTAGATCTAAAACTGCTATTTGCTTTGTGCTAAGTGATTCAAAGGCTTTTTTCTCCCAAATATTAGGTTAGGATTTATACTTTTGCTAGTGTTGTGTTATTATTGAATTGTGTTGTGTCATGTCAACTTCATCGAAATAAGATTAAAAATTATATATGAATAACGTGAAATGGGTCAACAAGAGGGACTAGTTGTTAATCACTTCTTCACAAGGACAGATGTTTTATATCTTATATATTTATCACAATATGGGAGTCAAGACCATAACTACAAATACATGGTCCACACTCAAGAACTAGAGTTAGTGTGGGTTAATAGTGAATGTCCTCACTGGACAAAAAAAATAGCACAACACTGCTGTGCTAGATATAGCAAGAGAGGTGTTCTAGTAAACAATGACTAACCACAAATGTGAAGTGATAGGGAGAATAATCTCTTTTGTTCAAAGCTATCACATGTAACAGACAAAAAAAAACCCTCTGAACTTCTTCTGCTGGAAAACAACAGCGTTTGAATTCAGCCAAATCAAACTTGTACGCTAATGTTCTTTGGCTTTGCTACATAACCTTCTTCCCATGAAGACGGCACTCACCTCCACCATAGCAGCCTCGATGCTATGCATGGCTTACCCAGAAAAATCTATGAGTGTTCAGACAATCCCATACTACTACCACCAAACGTCAACTAAGCTGGATCATTCTGACATAATGGCTGAGACTGAAATTTCATATTTGTTTATGAGTAGGGGAGAAAAAAAATACCTTGGTTATTTTTATAATTAAACGAGTTCTAGTAGTCTCCCCTCTGAAGGTGTTGGTCTATACAACTGGATCAAGGAAAGGTCTGAGCACAGGACTCTGGAACAGAGATGCAATACGATCATAGGGAAGAGTCAAATGGCAAGCCATGCCCACAGCAGGCCTCCTGGTTTGAGCTCCATTTGAACATGAGGACATTTCAGTCTTTGCCAAACTGAAGCTGAGCTTATATAAAACTTCCGTTGGACTGAACTGGTTCATTTCCACCATTTGTACGTGGCCTGAAGTGAACGCTGGTAGATAGCACTACACTTCTCTCGTGTGCTGTGTCCGTAGAGTGTTTTAATCTGGCATGTCAATGCACAGTTTAGGCGGAGGCACAAAGTACTTCCCGGGACTTTGCGTGATGACCACTCCAGTCTTCTTGCGGAACATCGGGCCAATTTTAGGAGGCTCGTGGGCAGGTATCTCTTCAGACACCTCTGAGTCCTCATGGTGGAGGTCATAGGAGATATTGCCGTACTCCCGCAGAAAGGGAAAGAGCTCCAGAAGGAACTGGCAGAAATCTTTACGAATGCCAAACCACCCTAGAAAAAAGTAAAAAAAACACACATGAAGGCGAGAACCCAGGATTAGATCTAACAACCAAACCTTACAGCAGCAAGTCAAATTGAGAAATGTGAGCAAAGTATAAAAAAAGCAAACGCACATTAAAATAGAATACATACTGTCTCTGTCCAAAAAACAAGTCTCTCCATTTTATCTATTTTACTTTTTAATTCTATTCCATTTTAAACACAGCAGTTGCCCTTTATATTGAGTGAACATTTCATGACAAATGGACCAATAAAAATGCTCCAAAACTGCTTTGAACAAAATCTCAATACACTTTGAAAGTAAAGAATGTTTTACTTATGTTTTTTTTTTGGATACCTATGATTTGCAAAAGAATGAGCAAAGTATTTACTTAGGTTGGTCCTATTTATTGTAGATTACAGTTCTGTAAAATTAAGAGAAATCTTAGAACACATCAAGCTTTCCTGCTTCTTTTTAAAAACGAAAACCAGGTGACCTCAATCGTGATGAAAATCAGCTTACAGTGATTGCCTCCCTTTTGGCCAAACGTGGTTGCCATCAGTGTCACCAGGGAGACCCAGAGAGGCACAAAGACCGGGACATAGTCTGAGTCATAATGGCCATCTAACTTGTGCACAAGAAGAATCTGGAGGATTGGGATAGAAAAAAGGGGATGACAGAGTAAATAATGCAGTCTTTCAGCAAAATCGCTAATGCTAGCATTATTGTGAGAAACACTTGAAAACATTACATTGTGAGAATCAAGAATCCTTTCAAACACATTTTTTTCTGGTACAACCGCCACATATGTGCACTTTGTAGGTATACAGTTACTGACTGTAGCCCATCTAATGCTGTACACTGTATTAATCCCCTTTACCCCACCATAAGATCAACACTGACCAGAAATAATTTGGAAAGGTGGACATTCTCACCACAGCATTGACACTGACGTGATGGTGTCTATGATGCTGGTATGAGAGCATCAGGCACAGTGGTGTTACTGAGGTTTTTACACAGTGTTGCTACAGAGTTTAGATTAGCTCAATCTCAGAAGAACTAAAACCAACCCTGATAGGCCAGAGCATGAATGAAAAAAAAAAACAAGAGATAATGTTTCAAAATGTACACCTAAAAGCTGAATTAACAAGGCTTTTTTTTAAAAAAAAAAGAAAAAAAGAAAAAAAAGCAACACTGCCTGTTACATTCATACCAGTGCTACACACACTGAAGGTGTTTTTCCACTGGGCAGGGCGGTAAAATCATGCATTTTGTCATCATTTCCACTGCCTAGTGAGCTTTACCGTACCTAGCTAGTAATAGTGCAAACGTCAACATCATTAAGACATGAAACAACATCTGGTGCTGTTTCTACTTGGGCCCATAAGTTTTGTTTTCACTACGTTGCACAATAAAAAAAATAAGTTCAAAAGTTAATCAGAGCCTGAAGCTTATTAGTGGATGGGGTAGATAGAGGGAAGCTGATGAATTGTGCATCAACATATTTGGCCAACTTCAGTCATTTAAAACCTGCGGAGTGCACTTCTATAGTAGGTATTCCTTATATACAGTCATATCTTTGAGTGCCTTATTTTTATTTGGACAATGTGACCGGAGGTCTCCATACTTTTGTATGCGAATGTAAGAGCCAAAAGCTTTTAAGTATTTCATGTGGTGTTTCCTTTACTTTGAACTACCCTGTATATGCTGCGTATGTAACAACACACTTGGTATTAGGCTGTATAGAGTACATTACGTATAAGCTCGCAAAAGATCCTGAGTTATACCAATTACTGCTTGTAACATACTGTGAGCACACATTCATCCTGCATTTTTTACACTTTTGTACCTCGAAGGTCAGCAGGGGGACAACGATAGCCATCCAGCTGATCGCCATGGTGATATGAGTGCGACGCTGCTCAGCGATGACGTCCATCGAACGGAGGAAAAGGACAGACCAGACAATGTAGTAAAGCACCACCAGACAAAGGAAGGACATGAGGATCCATAGCGGCACACAGACCACCTGCAAAAACAACACATCATACACACCCAAAATGAAAAGAAAGTCATACTGCCATTAAATTAACTTGTTCAACTTCTTATCAAAAGGCTTCAGGATAGTTATCAGACCTTACCAGCCAGGGCCAGTTGATGATCTTATCCAATCGCAGTGCAATGAAGATGAACTGCAGTATGTTTACCGAGCACAGGATCTCAAGCTGAGTGAAGTTACAGAGAGACACCAATCATGAGTTGAAGGATTTGTTGTCATGGAGGTAACAGCAAATAAAAAAAAAAACACAGTCAGTTCTGGCCATGTGACTAACCTCAAGTGAGCGGTCATGTCTGAAGCCCCACACGCACGCCGCCACAGAGACGGGAGAGACGAAGAAAAGGGGCATGAAGACCAGCAACCAGAAATGTGAGCCCCTCTCCACACGGTCACACACAAGCACCTCAAAGGTGAGAAGGAGGAGATGGATCCCTACAGCGATCAGCATCGCCTTGAACTCCACACAGGTCTCCCCCTCAGCCCTAAGGAACATACATGTGCAATTTGGGACATGTTCATATATAATGGAACATTTAAAAACATCCAACCAGGACAGAACACTGTCAGGGCATAACTAGGATCTTAGGGGGTTCCCTTATACAAACTTACTTTCAGTGTATAAAAACTGACAATGTAATTTTGCTAGTTTACTTGCTTTTTAATTAATTTAATTAATTTAAACCCTCCCATTAAACTACCTATATAACATTTTGAAATGACTCTGATTGATCTGTTGAAAACCGTTACTGTGGATGATCTGTATTATAAAAAAGAGGGAGTTAATCAGATGTCAAGCCTCTGTTTATGGAAACTACCTGGTGAGGTTGTCGTAAAGACACCGGAAATTTCCATGATTCATAAGTGTGTATGATTGTGTAAGTGTCTGTATGAGCAGCTTAATTAAACATTTTAGAGGGCCCTTTTCACTGCCCCCCCACCCCCCAACCACCATGGGCCCAGGTGCAATTCATCCCAACATTTCAAGAGTTATGGCACTGGCGTCCTGGACTCTGAGGAAATAACTATAATGGACCCTCAGGCACTGATATGACTGACCTGTACTGAGGGTTGTGGGCCCACACCCCAGTACCCACGGATGCTCCGATGATGACCATGAGTTTCCAGAGCCAAATGGGTGCAAACACCGCCCAGTAGCTCCACTGAATAAAGCCATCCAACCGCAATGACAGTAACACAGAGAAGAGCAGCAGGCATGCATAGATCAGGAATTTGCTGAAATGGAACAAGTACACATGATGGGAATCTGAGCCATTTAACAGTTCAGTAGTAAATCTCGTTAGTAGCCTACATGTGGCTGCGGATGACCGAGAAAACTACTAAAGCTAACTAACATTACCAGATATCTGTTGCCTAGCTAACCATAATAACTGTGTAACGTTAGTGATTAATTTTCACTTTGCGCAGTTTCGTTAGAAAGCTAGCAATAACTATTTTAACAGCAGACTCATTTCTCATATTTATAAGTCAGTACTTCAATTCGTTTTACTTAAATTCCAGACGTGGCATTTGCAGAATGAGGCATCAACTCAGTCGAGCTCAAAACTTCCAAGTCGAGTGTCAGGCTAAAGCTAGCTAGCCAACTCAGCAGGGCGCTGAAAACGTCCTGCCTTAATGTCTGGTATGAAGAAAAATAACACAGCTGTTATAGTCTGTGGTTTCATGACAGCTGGACTGTGAATTTACGAAAGACCGATATGAGGAGAGCTAAACAGAGCTCACACAATGCCAGTGACAGGCCTGTGAATCGAGCCAGCTAACTTGCTAACCATAACCGAGTAACACAAAATCCGGCTGTGTTTTTTGGCACATCTGACACAAACTTACCTCGGATTGAAATCTTGAAAGAATCCCCGGAGATTCATGGCTCTCTTCTTTCACACCATACTTCTGAGACAGTATTAATGAAATAAAGATGAAACTGCCACCCTCTCCTAAGCCCAGTCAGTTGACATAACACACTAAATCTGTGGAAGTGCGTTGTTCTCCCTCCCGAGCTCCAGGTGTCAGTGTTCCTCCATCATTGTGCTCATCAGAGAGTCTGCAGAGGCCTCAGCGCTTGTCAGTCGTTATAGTAATACATTAGGAACCCAACGCGGTCCTTATCCTACTGTTTAAACGGACCATATCACGGAAAATTGAATTTTCCTGCTTTATTTTTAAATTAAGGAGTTTTATGTAGTATGAGAACATCGATAAAGTTTTAAAACGTACCAATCAGCTCAGCTGTATTAAATTAATCGTTTTATGATGTCTCATGTTCCGCTTACAGCAGTTCAGTCCCACCTGTTATAAATGTTAGATATGAAGTATTATGTGGAGCGTTTCACACCAGACCACTTCTTGAATGAGGAACCATACAGGGCAGCCAACTGGGACAACTGTATTAACATTGCTATCCTACGTAAGGAATTACATCGCCTACATTCAATTTGAGTCGAGTCCAGTAAGGTAAACATAAACGTGGTACAGAGCCAGTTTGTGTGTTATGGGCTGGAAGTTATAATTTAGGCACAACTCCTCTTGCTTAAATGAGCTGCTACCATTGTGAAATATGGTTTTGCTACGGAGAGGGAAAGTGCAGACCTGCGCCATCTGCTGGCTGCGATCGACACATTTTAAATAGCCATTCATTTTACCATAAGGAAATTTTTGATAACGGGATAAAAATCACCTAAAGCTGGAACTTTTCTGAAACAGTTATTTTGTGACCATATTAGAACAGAACCAATAAACACAATATAATAGCAGAACATTTTGCTGAGGAATACACATATAGCGATAAAACTAAAATTAAACTACAAATCCCATGGCCCTGTGCCGGCGCAGCCTCCTCGGAAATATAATAGTGACGTCTTCCGCGCGACAAACTTTGTAGTCCGTATCTCCGTAGACTGTATCACGATCACTGATAGCGTCATATATAACTGAATAAGGGGACGACACGTCTCGTTATGTTGTACAACCTGTACTGTGCATCACCTCCAGCCTGCGTTTTGAACACTTTCCTTACAAAAAGATAATACTTTGTAGCTCTTTGTTATTGAGTTTATATCAGTTTTTCCGTCTCAAGTCATGAAGGCCCACTGCGTTATCACACAGGATTCATCTCAACACATTAGGTAAAGATGTGCTCAGGTGCAGGGGGTCTTCAGCACTGCAGTTGGGAAGCACAGCTTTAACTCAAGGAAACATATCCTACTGCAAAGTTAAAGTGGGATTTTCACTGTTTTTTTTTTACATTTCTATATGATTCAGTGGTGTGTGTATATATATATATATATATATATATATATATATATATTATATATATATACACACCACTGGGGGGGTTCAAAGCAAACCACTCTGAATGATTCTGCTGACATGTTAATAATTTAATTATGCAGAGATTGTGAAAAATGGGTGGAGTTCTCTTTTAAGTTCCAAACACCTGCCATTAATAGTCAGTCCAGAAGAACATGAATGAAGTGGCTCAAGTATGACTGATTCATGACAGGTGCAACACAATGGAAAAATGTTTAAAAAGTAGGATAGGACTAGATTGAGAGCTATGAAGTAAAACTTCATACCGCCTGTACCCATTAATGAAATGCATTGTATGGATACACTTAAATTCAGATAAACGTTTATGATCAGTTTCAGTCATTTCACAAAGCAGAGCAAATAGAGATCTACACATAGATACAAAATGCAAATAGTGTTTTTAAATGTTAGATATTAACTTCAAAAAATACCTGGAATGTGTGCAGTATGATAGCTAAATAAAATAATTGCTGCATTTGAGCATCTGAACCTTCTTGTCTATTTACACACATATACATGAAAAAAGAAAGAAAAAAAAGAACAAATCAGAAAGGCATTTGCACTCATGGTTAAAGTTTTGAGTAGCATGGTTATGTTCCTTGAAATAAATGACCAACTCAGTCAATTTAAGTCATACGCATGCATAGGGCTCAATGATTTGGGGAAAACATGTAATTGCAGTTTTCTTCGAACATTGCGATTTGAATTAGAATATTTTCTATAAACTAAGCCCCATGCTGAGAAGACCAGCACCTCCATTTTTTTTGTATGCTGAATGTAGTGTGTCAGATTGCCCGTTCATGAGCTCTGAGTTCTTAGTTTGAATTCCTCCACATAAAACTTTGGGTGACGTTGGACAATGTAAGACACAATTAAAACTGCAACTCTTGCGATTTGCAAAGTGCACTCAATCAAATTATGATTTTTTTATAAAAGCAACTAATTGTTCAGCCCTACATATGCATCAGTGCAACACTGCTCAGGGGATATAGTCCTAATGTACAAGTTCCAGCTGGTTAGAAGTAAAAGGTAAGACTCCGCTGACATAGTAAGCTATGCCCAACGAAAGCAGGGCAATGACCAGCAGCAGCAGCAGAACCCTCCAGAATCCAAGGTCCTCCACAAACTCCTGCCATGTGGTGCGGAAGCTGGAAAGTACCCCATCGCTGTGGTGCAGGTGGGGATTCAGAAGCGAGTGGCTTTCCATGGCACTGTAAGGGATGAATAAGGATATTTGTGAGGGATGCACATTACCACTCAAAATTACCACTTTGAAATCTGCATTATTAACAAAATAAAAACAAATTTGTTGCCGATACATACACCGACCAGCCACTTCATTAAGTAGCTTGTATCTAAACTCTTTGTCCATTTTATCAGGTCCATTTACCATATAGGTACACTTTGTAGTTCTACCATTACAGGTATTATTCGGGTTGTGGATCATTTTCAGCATCACCAGTCACATCAGTGTCTCTAGTGTGTGTTGCACTGGTACTGGTACTGGTACACAGCAGCGCTGGTGAAGTTTTTAACCACTAACTGTAGCCCATCTGTTGTCAAGCCAAATTGGTCAGCCCTTTTCTACTAAATCCATGAATGGAAAGGGACCACAACAGGACCAACACTGACTAGATATTCTTTGGGTGGAGGACTATTCTGAAAACAGCAGTGACACTGACTTCATGCACTACAGCACTGCTGAGGTTTTTACACTGTATATTTACTGCCCACTTTATTAGACACACCTAGTTTTTTGAAACACCTTGTTTGAGATAATTAGAGACTATGCTTTCACAATTAATGCCAGAAATTCTCTAGCCCTTCATCAGTGGCCTGACCACAGGACCATTGTTGGCTGGTTATTTTCAGCAGGCAGACTGTTCTCAACCCAGCAGTCAGATTGAGGGGAAAAAAAGAGACTGCTGTATCTGATACACCTGTACCAGTATAATACTCACTAAGATGCCATTATAAGATGTCTGTAGCAGTGGTCCTATGGTGGTTTCCATTAATTAATGGAGTAGAGAATGGCTGACAAATTGCTCACAGGAACAGATAATTACTAAAAACATGAATACAGAACCCATAACATGGTTTTGCTGTCTAAATGCAAGTAAGAATTGTTGAAGAACCTGCATTGGAACTTGACTCACTTTTACTTGTCCCTGGTGAGTTCACCTACCACTTACACAGCAAGACAAACAAAAAAAACTCCAAATCTTTCCATAACCTACCTTGATGACACATATCAATTTTATATATTAAACATGAATTTCTCAAGAAAAGTGTGATGACTGTGCTTGGACTGTGCTTGTCTGGGATCTTGATCAATTAATCTCTGTGGATTAAATGCGCAGCTAGCATGAGAGTAAAATGGCAGTCAATAATTGAGTACGAGCATTAAGATTTAGAAACACTCTTAAGATGCTCTGGCATGTCCATTCAGGTGGTACTTGTGGAAGCATAGGTAGACAGTAAAGCTCATTCTGGATCATCTAAACCTTTTAAGCAAATTAATTGGTTTCTCTGATCTAACACAAAAACCACTGGCTTCACGTACCACAAATAGTACCACAAATGTTTCTATATTCGGTACAAACTGACAGCTTCATTGAACACAAAATACAGTCAATTTCACTCCTGGGCATTACAAACTTATGTCTCTGCATAGAACAGAATCCTTCCTAAGTTTGCTGTGTAGATTTACAGAGACGTAAAAAATAACATATTCTACTAAACTGAGCTCATTTATTTGCCTCATTTAACTGTAGGTGTAATGTCCAGCTTTTAATTTCAGCGCTTCATCAATTATAAACACATGTAATCAGTATTATTGTATCCAGAAGCAACAGAAAACTGTTCAATTACTATTACTATTGTGACTGAAGCGAGCACTCCAGTATGCGACAAGACAGAGAACATGCATTTCAAACTTTCGTTTCAAATACTGTTTCTACCATCACTGTAGGTAGGTACTCCCTTTGAGCTGATAGTAAGGTCTTATTGGCTTTCTTTTTACTGAGGAAGATTTAGATGTTTACACTGGAAAAGTAATATGACAAGTGCTTGCTATGGCTCACCTTTCATTCTCAGCTATGTGCACCTTCTCCAGGCTGGAATGGGAGCTGCGGTTGAAACCTTTCACCTCCTGCTCCTCCAGCCCCTCCAGCAGGCGAAGAGCATCTTTGTTCACACCACGCCTCTTGGCCAGAACAAGTGGAGTTGCTCCATTGTGATTACTGTATGAAACAAAAGAAACATGAACTCCAGTGACAGTATTTGGGGAAAAAAAATATACAGTTTAGTGGTGGACTCCAACTACTGTACCTAATGGGTCAGTTTCCTGAACATGGATTACACCTAGATTTGGACTCAATCTTCATCAATTAATGCCCGTGGATAACATTTTGCAATGCATAACTACATTGCTTGAAAGGAAATGGCCACACAGTCAGATTTTTTATCACATTCTGTTTCAGTTGTTCTTCTTCCCCTAAAAGTCAACACAGACCATATTCTCTGATTCCAAATGTATCAGTCAGTATAAAAATGAGAAAATCTCAAACTGGGAAATATGAATCTGCTTGTCTACTGAAGTATGCAAATTAGACTGTCCTGCAACAAGATAAACTTATGTTTATGTTTAACATAGCCTGTAATCCTGTAACACACTTTCACTGCAACTGTGTATTGTATGTCTTTGAAAGATCAGACTTAATTAATGCAAATTCAATTCAATTCACAATGTTTTAATACTCAACAAAGCCAGCCTGCATTACAGCAGAGAAACGAAAAAATGTGCAGCACCTTCAGAGGACAAGGAATGAGATGTTCAATAAAAACATGAAGTCACTGACCAGATATCAATCTTCAGTCCGTTGGACACTAGAAACTGGATGGTGTCCACATGGCCACACATGTGCAGGGCAGTATTGCCCTGTGCGTCAGTCGCTAGTAGGTCAGCTCCAAACTTATGGAGCAGGCGACAAATGTCCACATTGCCCCGAGCTGCAGCCAGGTGCAGACCAGTCCTTCCACGGCAGTCTCGCGCGTTGGGGTCAAAGCCGGACTCCAGCAAGCGCTTGGTGTACGGCAAGTCACCATCAATGCAGGCCTGCAGCAGAGGCACGGTGGTCTGCAGAGAATCGTTGACGAAGACATACGACATGCTGCAGACTGGCTCTCAGCTGAAATTCAAAAGGCAACCATAAAAACACACACAATTATGTAAGAATGACTTCTGGTTGATTCTTCAGTTGAAACAACATTTCTAGTGACCTGTTAAAGCTACAGCCTTAAAATACAAATTAACCTGCTGATTAGCCATATTAGCTAGCTAACAAACAATGTACAGACCAGCAGTTCCCAACCCAGGTTCTGGAGCAGTGTGGAGGGTAGGGGAGAATCAGGGTTGGGAACCACTGGTTTAAACCACAAACTAATGACAGATTATCGACACCCTTTCAATGGTACCATCAGAAAGGGATAACTGGCTTCCTTTTTCTGAATGACAGGTTTGGTTCCTGAGTTCATCCAGAGTGAGATAAACAATAACTAAATCAGTGTAGCTGTTATTGGCAACAGATGATGGGTGACTTTCTTATAGGAAATAACCACTAGGAATAATGATCATAGTAATAATACGATGCCACACTGACCAAAACTCAATTTAAAAACATCTCTGCACTTTTGGACTTCTAAAGTGCATTCTAAAGTTTACATAGTTCAGCCTTTCAGGAGCATAAACATGCTCATGGAAAATTCTTGAATGGCTTTGTTACACACTTAAAAAAGATGGCTCTTTAAAGGTTCTTTAGTAAAGGCAATAGTTCTACTATAGATCCATTTCGTGCTTAAATGGTTCCTGGTATGGAAAAACGGTTCTTCAGATTAATGGAGAATGTGTTGTATATGGTTGCATATAGAACCTTATTGAAAATAGGTGAACTTTATTCAAAATAAAATTTTATATAGATTCATACACAACACATTCTGCAATCCATTTCACCATGCCAAGAAACATGAAATAAGCGTGAAATGGTTCTACATAGAACTCATGATTCTATGTAGAAGTAAGCTACTGCCTTTACTAAAGAACCCTTGAAGAACCATCGTTTTTAAGTGTGTACTATAGCAACAACCTAAATTTGTTAGTGACCAACCTCTCAGAAAACGAAGTTAGCTACAGAAGTTAAACTGAGCCGCTAACATGTCAGGAATAGAAGCCGAAATACTCGCCCATATCTGTAAATCACACCATATCACTCTAACGGCAGCTCATTATATATATTTGTGTTTAGCAGGTGCATTAACACCATACATTAATCAGCCAAGCTAGTTAGCTAGCTTGCTAGTGCAAACGTATGTAACGCAGCAAACGGCCCAGACTAACGTTACGATTTAAACATACAGCAATAAAAACCAGCTGGACGTGTAATACCTCGGTACCTCAGTAAGATGTCTCAAAAAGGCTTTAACTCGTCTCCGAAACAAAATCGTTCTTGTAAATTAAAGACAACTACGCTAGCTAGCTTGCTCGCTAAACACAAAAACATTTGACGTAAACGCTACAACGGCGGAGTTACAGACTACATCACCCAGAATGCCTTGTAACGTTTTGTTGACGTTGGACTGCTACGTTTCTTCCGAGAAATCTGGGGGATGTAGTTTATTTGGCTACTTTTAACTGAAGAACAACATCAAATGGACCTCATTATCCACAATCCAGCGCGTTGTATTTTTATCGTTGACTTTAAACACCGATGACAGCACAGGATGGAGGCAGGTAAGAAATGTAGAAATAAAATAACAGTATCAATCAAGCTATAATGTATCGATTAAGAATGGGTATCGCGTGCATGTCATGCTGAAAGTTAGAATTTGTCCGAAGTGAAATGGTCAAGCCGGTTCCTTCAATATTGTTGTTCCCGAGGGGTTTCGTAACTGAGTTTCAAGTTTTCTCATTGTTCCTTGGTGCTGGCCTGAACGCATCTACCCGGCACGGTCTGACTCATGTAGCCGCTGCTCATAATTTACGTAGCTACTTTAATAAACCATGTTAACTTGCTCTGTTCTTTTAGCGGTCAGTTGAGCGGCTCACTGCCCTGACCACACTGTACACGAGTTAATTAGTTAAGTATGAGATAAACAGTGCTGAATAATAACACGTCTGTGGCCGATAAAGTGGTAAATGCTGTTTTTTCCAGTCCTGTCAGTAGCTTCTGTACTCAGTTAGAAGAAAACTCAAACACAAATGATATATACTGACATAATTATTCTTCCTGTTTAGATTTAAGTGCAGTTTCTTGTGATTTCCTGTCATGGTTGTAGCAGTAATAAATCTTTTATCTTTACAGTTTTAGCCAAGTATGAAAACCAGATCAACGTGTTCTCTGAATACCTAGAAGACTTGCCTGACACTGATGAGCCAGTGTGGATCTTAGGAGAATGTTACAATGTTAAAACAGGTAACATGACTAATGGACATTTAGTAGTTCAGCCAGGATTGGAAAGGTGTACAACATGGCCAAAACTTAGACGGGGAATTTCACAAAATTTTCAAAAGTTCTGCCTAATTAAGTTGTTCAGATGTAAACAAAGTCATTTAGAGTGGTTTGATATGAAATGGTTCGTTGTAGAGAAACTTACAGGCTCAGATTTATTTACAGAGGTGGTGATAAGAACCAGGGCCTTTCTATTTACTATCCATCACCACCAGTGAGTCTACACATGTCTTCTGAGTTTTATATGTGGTGCTGATGATAGTAAAATAAATCTGAAAAAAATGTTTTCTTCTCTCTGCATGTACCCCACAGCCATGAATAGATTAAAATAAATGGATCAAAATACACTTTAAGCCAAAACCTTATCACAAAACGGTGTGTTAGACATCAGGCAGCATATATCTAAACATTTCATGCAATAACTTTCTGTGAGAGATATCTGGTTCCAATCACCACCACTGTGAACAAGTCTAACTCTAAAACAGTGTGTTTCACACCAAACCACTGATTGACTTTACTTACATCTTAACCATTTAATTATGTAAAATTTTTGAAAAATTGGTGGAGCTACCCTTTAACTTCTAGAAACTTGAATGTACACAATACACAATATGTATGCACCTCCAAAGCGGGAGCAGGAGTGCCATGTTTTAAAACCAGCTATGAAAAACTTTGAGTACTTTGATGTTGTTTAAAATGCAAGGTTTGATGCTGTTAAATCAAATATTTAAGGAACAGGAGGAAAAAAGCAACTGGTAAAAATAAGTGAATAAATTAAGATTGTGTTACAGTGGGCAGACATCCAATCTGTTCCTTGTTAGTAAGCAGTTTATGCAGATAAACACACTGGTTGTTGAGTACAGGCTGTCTATAATTATTATATAATACATATATTATAGTACATGCATTGTGGAAGTAGTGATGAGACCCATGATTTCATTTCCTTTTAGGAAAATCAGAGCTTCTTTCAGATGTGCGTTCGCGGCTGTGGTTCACATACAGGAAAAAGTTCTCCCCTATAGGTCAGTGATTTGCATACGTTGTCTAAGGTGGTCTGGTTTAGCTTTTCTTTCTGGGAGAAGAACATTACTAAAATTGCTTTTAGTCCATATTGTAAGAGCCATGACTCAAATTTTTGTTGCTTTTGTTGAGTTGTGGGCCGTATTTTAAAGGCGCTGATGTTGTATTTCTGGGCTGTAGGAGGAACAGGCCCATCGTCGGACACAGGCTGGGGCTGCATGCTGCGCTGTGGGCAGATGATACTAGCACAGGCCCTGGTCTGCAGACACCTGGGGCGAGGTAAGACAAAAATGCAGTTCTAGCTTCACACTACAGAAATACAAAACAATCAAGGCTATTCAGAGCTGCTTGTCTTTCATGTCTGATATCACAAACTCTGCTACACTACCATTCAAAACTTTGGAATCTCCCGTCAAATTGGTAATTGTTATTATTTTTTTTGTACAATACTAACACATAACTAGGCACCGCAAGGTATTTTTAGATGTGTTCAACATTCCAAGTGTTTTGGGAACAGGAGCTTATTAAATAATAATGATAATTATCTATTTACAGACAATTTTTATCAAGTTGTTTGTCTCAAGATTTGAAAAATATGAGGCATTGTGGATGTTTAATGTATTATACTATTACCAGAAATTTTAGAGCAGTTATTCATCACTTTATTTATCAATCTGCACATTCTGGATCTCTTTTTTTTTCTTTTTTTAACAGCTTCCAACTAATTACTTGAAGTTTTTGAGGTTGCACAGGACAGCATATTAGAATCATTTACATATATATCTGCAACTAAATTGGTTTTATGGTGGTGGAGCACAGGATTGTTACTAGAGGTGGACAATATGACAAAAATATAATATTGAGATACTTGAAATTTACACAATATTTATTTTTTCAGACATCTGATCAGTTGGAACCGTGAAAAAAGAACCAGTAGCGCTACATTTAAAAAAATACTAAAAAAAATTATATATTTGACATATATTTGACATATTTTTGACATATTTGACACTGTTTTGCACTAAATCCAGTTAAATGGGACTAATTTCACTCTCTTTATAATGAAACATGCAGTTGGTCAGTGTTCTTCAAGTACTCCAAGATATGTTCAGAAAAGCATGCTGTATTGTATTGTGACATAATTCATCAGGATAACGATGTATATCGTCATATTGCCCAGCCTTAATAGTGACTTTGCATCTGTTACCTGTAATGTGAACCTGCACTGTTTACTGAAACAGAATGGCGGTGGGTAGCAGAGGGAACTCAGCCAGTGGAGTACCATCGCATCCTACACTGCTTTCTGGACAGAAAGGATAGCTGTTATTCGATTCACCAGATGGGTAAGTGATACTTTGTATGTGTGTGTTGTATGTGAGCGCAGGCGTGTAAATAAAAACCTCAGTCTCGTCCCGCACACTCTCGTCTCTGCTTGGGCCAAGCTCACACAATGAACCATATTGTTCTACCGATTGTGACCGTTTGTCATTTCACGGCGGTCATCAGTAGAACTGTCAATGTTCTCTGTACAGCTCTTAAATAAGATTCAGTGCAGACCATGCTCATTAAATGCCCCCATTTTCTTGCCACGCTCAGCCCCCCCCGTGTGGTTTATTGTTCTATATGAGTACTTTCTGTGCAATGTCTCTGTCTCTGAGCAGCTCAGATGGGGGTGGGCGAGGGGAAGTCTGTGGGAGAATGGTACGGTCCTAATACAGTGGCGCAAGTACTCAAGTAAGTGCCATCTTCCTCATTACAGGAGTTTCTCCTTCTTTATTTATATTCTCTATAATAATTCTTAAGTCTTAGTTTAATGTGTTCTGCTGGCATCATGTTGTTTTGATAAGTGCTGGAAACAAGAACAAAGCAAAGAAATGTAGCCTATGATAATATTTGAATGTCAGAAACAGGATCTGATTGGACTATAAAATTAAATACTGTATCTGTGAGTTGGCTGAATAATGACAGTGAACTGCTGCTGTGCTGTGTTTGGGGGAGAGGAGGAATTTTCTCTCTCTCTTAATTTTGCTAGCAGCAACCACCTCTTCCCCCTTTCCTAAAATTAAAAACTCTTCAAATCTACACAGTTCACAAGGATGGTATGTTCATCATTCAAAACAGTGAACTTCACCAAAAGGTGGCAAGTCTGCATGCAACAGGATAACCAGGCTCTCCAGTAATATTCTGCAAAGGAGTTTAAGTTCAAATATTTATGGAAAGAGTCACTTTAAAACTGGAATATACAGGTGGTCTCCTTGCAAAAATAATGTTCTCAAACATCTCTAATTCAGGGGCCTATATGAACCAACTTTAACATAGTATCCACATTTTTGCCAGATATTTCCTGTCCTGTGTGTCCATTAACAAACTATTAACAAACCTCTGTCTGAAAGCCTCAGTTCATACATCTATAACAACAACGAGTAAGTCAGTAAACACTGAAAGCTAGAAACTGCCGCATAACTGATCTGGGCTGCGTTTTTCTAAAAGCATCTTAGCATTTTATAGTTTTGCAAACTTAATGTGCTAAATATACGTCCTAGAAAATAGAAATGAAATGAGTTCAGAAAGGGTCTGAAAGAAAATATTTTGAAGTTTTGCTTTGTTTTTGTTTTTTGCTCACAGGAAACTTGCACTGTTTGATGACTGGAACTCCTTAGCTGTGTATGTGTCAATGGACAACACTGTAGTGATAGAAGACATCAGTAAGTGTTTTGTTTGTTTGTTTGTTTGTTTGGAGGGGTTCTAAGGTAAAATAATAACATTATAATTATCTCACTGTGTCTCCATTTGGGCACTATGCACTACATTCTTGCAGTGTACACTACATACTTCACTATCTAGTGGCTGGGTATTTGTAGGATAGTATCATGCCAGATGAAATACTGACATAAACAAAAATGACAAATCATAGCTATACAAGTACAGAGCCATATAAAGAACCACCAAATTAAAACTAAATGTTGACGAGTTTGGAAGAACAAGTTTGGAAGAACCTCCTCATTATGTAAATGTTCAATACAGATTAAAGGTTTTCCTGGAACACCGTACATCCAAGCCAGTAACCTTTTAGAAACCTTTGTTTTGATTAGTGCACTAAAAGTGGATAGAACAGTGTGGAGGTTCTCAATTTGAGACATAACCTCTCTCTCTCTCTCTCTCTCTCTCTCTCTCTCCCTCCCTCATAGAAAAGCAGTGCCGTCAGGCAAATCAGGAAGCAAAACCCAGGGCAGGCCCCTGTGCCTGGGGGGAAGTTTACCCCTCAGATGATTCATTGTCGGGGCAACGGCAGGCTCCGTGCCCCCTCTCTCACTTCCATGACACCTCACAGCAACCCCTGGACTGGAGGCCCCTGCTTCTGCTTATTCCTCTCCGCATGGGCATCAACGACATCAACCCCGTCTACATTCAGGCCCTCAAAGTATGGAGAGATCTGGTCTGAATGCTCTTAACAGCACACTTGTATTATATGGTTTAAACCAATTGAAATTAATTGAATGGAATGTTCCTGGTGTTAAAGTTGTCTTACGTCTCTGTGTTTGGTCCTGAATTGTAAGTAAAACATCAAGATAAAGTTCTTGTGTTGTATAATTTAACACTCAGACATATGCAAAAAATACATAATACTCGAACAATATCGCAGAAATATTACTAGGTGACAAAAAATCTCCGAAATAGTGGCTTTACAGGAAAAGGCAAAACGTTCTTTACTTTTAATGTAAGTTAAAGTAATGAGATTTTTTAATGTCAATAATTTTGGAGCATTACTATTGGTCCATTCTTCATAATGTGATTAAATGACACAGAAAAAATGGGATACTTGACAGGAGAGACAGTCAAACTCTTTTTTTTTTTCTTTCAAGGAATGTTTTAAGATGCCTCAGTCTTGTGGAGTGCTGGGGGGAAAGCCCAACTTGGCTTATTACTTCATTGGATTTATAGGTGAGTTTGTCTGTGGTGTGTGTAATAGGTGAGTTTGTCTGTGGTGTGTAATTGGTGAGTTTGTCTGTGGTGTGTGTAATAGGTGAGTTGGTCTGTGGTGTGTGTAATAGGTGAGTTGGTCTGTGGTGTGTGTAATACCATTTCAGAAGCAACCTTATGGATGAACAAGTACTTGTCTGCCTTTTTCTTTGCATTCAGACGATGAGCTGATCTATCTGGACCCCCACACCACGCAGTTAGCTGTGGACTCGGAGATGGGGAGCACTGTGGACGATCAGAGTTACCATTGTCAGAGGAACCCTCGCCGCATGAAGATCACCAGCCTGGACCCGTCTGTAGCACTGGTAAGACTGTCCGTGTGAACGACTGGGGCTTCACAATATATCTTGTGTTAACGGGCCCATATCATGGAAAACCTCACTTATTTTAAATTAAACATTTTGATATGATATGTAAACATTGCCAAAGTTTCAATATGTACTATTCACTCCCCATTCATTACAGTCAATATGTTTTTGATTTTTTTTTTTGTGATGTCACAAGAATCAGTCTCATTTGCATATATTTACCTACCTAGTACAAAAGATGTAAACAGTGTTGGTCAAAAGAATGCAAAGCTTTAAATATGTCACATTATTGGTTCACCAGTACTGTGCTTTTAATATATTGGCCATTTTGTGAGGAATGTCACAGTCACAAAATGTTGCAATACAATAGCAATAAAGTATTTTGTAGTATTTTATGCAGACAAGTCTACCCAACGGTCCATTTTTATTTGAAATGGTTTCCTTTTACTGTATTAACAAATAATGTTTTATGTGTTTTCTGTGTTTTCTGGCAACAGGGCTTTTTCTGCAAGAGTGAGGAGGACTTTGACAGCTGGTGTAATCTGGTCCAGCAGGTAGGGCACTCTCAGTATCTGTGAATCATCCAGCCTGCTGGTGTGGTAGAGCTTTAACCCATTCTCCTTATGATCCAAAAGGAGATCCTGAAGAAGCGGAACTTGCGGATGTTTGAGCTGGTAGAGAAGCGTCCCTCTCACTGGCCACCGTTCATTACCCCGACTAAACCTGAGGTGCCGACCACAGGAGCAGGTGGGAGTGCTGCTTTGAGCCTCACCCAAACTCTAAAGCTTTCAGCTGGTTTTTCTGTGGCAAAACTCTGAGCGCTCTTCAGAGCTTTAGAAGTTCCTTAAACATCTTCCTTAAACAGTATATCTGGTGGCCAGTAAAAAGTATGGACTTAAAACACACTATAATGCCAAAAGTGTGTGGACTCCTGACCGTCATAACTACATAAGCTTGTTGCACATCCCCTTTCAAAACCATGGGCATTAATGTGGAGTTGACCCCGCTTTGCAGCTGTAACAGCCTCCATTCTTCTGGGAAGACTTGGAACTTTGTGTATTTGTGAGGTCAGGCACTGATGCTGGATGAGAAGGGCTGACTTGCAACTGACATCCCAGTTCATCTAAAGGTGTTCAGTGGGGCTGAGGTCAGGGCTCTGTCAAGTCAGTGGAGTTCTTCCCACCCAACTCGTCAGACCATGTCTTTATGGTCCTCACTTTTTTCTCCTACCATCTAGATGCTTCCATTTCACAGTAATAGCACTTACAGTTGACCGGTGCAGATCTAGCAGGGCGGAAATTTCATGAATTCACTTGTAGCAAAGGTGGCATCCTAAGATAGTGTCATGCTTAAAGTCATTGAGTGTCTATGTAGACTGCATGGCTTTGTGCTTGATTTTATACTCCTGTTTGCAGTGGGTGTGGCTGAAACACCTGAACTCAGTAATTAGGAGGGCTGTCCACATACATTTGACCATATAGTGTAAGTTTAAACCTGTGATGATAGGAACCAGGGGTCCTGATGTCTACTGCACAAATATAGCCATGTTATTTACTATCAAAAAAAGACTAGTAAACCTAGACTGTCTTCATTACAGAAGATTTTATATGTAATATTGCTTATGGTAAAGTAATGTTTTGGTTCCATTTTGCTTTACACCGCCCTGCATGTATCTCAGCTTTAAAAATATGTTTTAGGCCAAAACTTTATCTCACAGTTACTGTAAAATCTATCATAAAAACTAGTGCTGGTTCCTGCCACCACCATTGTGAAAAATACTGACTCTTTCTGTGAGAATTCTTCAAATGCTGCTGCTCTAGATTGGAGCACTTAATATTAAATGGCTCTGAATGACTTTGTTTACTTGGTCTTAACTAGTTAATTATGCAGACATTTTGTAAGATTGGTGAAATTACGATTTAACTAGCCAGCATACTGTCTATAGCAGTTGTTTCCATTGTTGGTCCTGTTTTTTCCCTGGTCCAGCACACCTAATTCAACCCATGAAGAGTCTTAGCTGACTTCTTCATTCTAACGAATGAGTTTTTCAAGTGATATCAATGTCAATTTTAGAGATTGTCTGAAAGGAACAGAAGCCACTCTTGGCATCCTATTCTTCCACACAGCCCTCTGAGCTGATGAGTAGGTCGGCTTTGTGCCATATTGACTGGAGAGCTGTGCTAACGTCCCATGAAAGATTGTTTTTTAATTGACCATATACGTCATCATCAGCAGGCAGAAAGACAAATATATACCCCATATACAATCAGCTGCTTTGATGGATTCAAAGGGTTCTGTTTCAAAGAGTGGTCATAAAATGCAGCTATTACAGAGTGGATGTATGCTTAGTTTAGGTGAAGATGCCTTTAAATTCTCCTCCTTATTCCACTAATACATTTCATCTCTGAATACCTGACTGAAATTGGGTAGTTGTGGTTATTCAGTGCTCCATACAGATATTCAGATAGCATGCATGTGTATATCCAGACACTGCTCAGTGAAAGCGATCTGAACCATTTTCCCCTTGAGCAACCTCCTCTGTCTGCTTTGTTCTTTCTTCCTCAGAGTTCATCGAGTCCACAGACAAGCTGTTCGAGTCGGAGGAGGAGTTTGAGATCCTAAACGTGTGAGCTCCGCCCCCTCCCCCTCCCTCCATGCAATCAATGAAAGATCAGGATTGAGGTGGAGCCTCAGGTTTCTGCTCATCCATGCTGCACAAGTGCCTCAGATCAACACCAAGCACAACACAGTTATCAATACGCACAAAACAAACAAAAAGCAACCAGTAATAATAAAGCAGGGCTAGGGAATGACCTCCTGGCCAGCTAATCCAGATGGATGGACAGTCAGTATTTACAGCATCACTGAGCTCATGCTGTCTCACTTTGGAACACAGAGCAAGGAAAAGAAAAACAAAAAGCCACGGATCACTGTAGCCATTCTGAGTGATGTTTTTTAGGCACGTCTGAGAGACTTCTTTATATAATTGTTCAGAGAATTCTCTGATTGCATGAACTTTACTGTACTGTATCACAGCGTCTCCCACTGCAAAATGAAACAGGACCTGGGGGGAGGACGGGCATGGGAATGATACTTTCCGTAGAAGCCACGGTTTCAGTTCATACATGTACTACCTCCTGAATCCAGGAGACAGCAGATATGCAGAAATCTTTTATACAGTGTTATATGAGGAAAAGGACGAAAACCTTATCTGTGGAAAGTGCCTCTCTCTCTTTGACATATTTATGTTATATGGAATGGTTAAGGTCGTTGTTTCCTTTCCTCATTAACCAAACAGGTTAAAATAATTGCACCCCCTACAAACCCCTCTAAAATTGCACATTCATGTAAATATGCCTGCAAATAAAGATATTTAAACACCTTCTTTGGTTTTAGACTACTTTCTTGACCTTTTCTAAGAATAAAAGAGTGCTTCTATGACTCAGTGGCCTAAAATAAGTGGATATTTTGAATCTTTTCACTTCAGTGGTTAAATGTGAGCATGATTTTCGAGGCTGGACTGGACACAGAAGGTGGACACAATGCTGGAAACACAAAAAGACCTAAGCACATATAAATTATTTGACATTATTTAAGTAAAAGCCATCTACTACATTCACTGAAGGTCAGTATGTCATACAATATATTGGCTATAAAATGTATTTCCCAAAAAATAGTCTCATCAGCATTTTCCCTCCTCCTTTTCTTTGTTTTCAGACCTTTCTCTGACAGGGAGAGAGGGGGGGTGGGGGACTCTTTTTTTGTTTGTTGCAGTGGGAGACTGTTGCATAAGAACCCCAGCCATGATCTCCACTCTGTCCAGCAGAGGGAAGCACTCGGCAAGTTTGCCAAGGGCCACAAAAGGCCGTTCTGTATGGGATGATGTGTTTAGTCGGGAACCTCTAGTCTTAGCGCATCTTAGAGCAGTGTTGCATCATGCCGGATCACAAACATCTGATAAGAAAACACGCACGCATGAGTCACAGTCAAGAATACCTTGGCACTTTTTTATTGCAATAGCTCTATGACAAGCAAAACCCAATTTGATAAATATACACCAAAAATAAAATATAAAAATGTAGAACTGACAAAAAAATCCCCCAGACACCCCTCGTTTGTGAAATCAAGGAAAGTGGGTGCTGTGTAGCATGGTCAACGAGAGAAAAGGGATATCAAAAATTACAATATTTACAAAGGAAGACGGTGTTCAGAATGATCCGATTCAGTCAGCACTATCAGCGTGGTTCAGCCCGATCGCAAACTTTTAAGCAGCAGATGTGAGCATTGACTGGGATCCTCAAGAGAAACAACAAACTGCAAATTGTCAACACACGCTCTGCCCATTTCAGATTCCTCTTTTCTCTTTTTTTTCTTCCCCCTCCCGCCCCTCTCTCTCTTCCTTAATCCAAACAAAAGGCAAATAACTCAATTCCACAATTCCAAACAATAAGAGTTATCCCCGAATTCTAGATCCTCGAGAGAGCCCTAAGTACAAAAACACAAGCTTGATTAGTTTTCAGGTTGTCACTGTAGTTATTGTGTAGAAAAAAGTTTCCAAGAAACGGTATACTACTGTTATTTTTTTTCCCATTTCACATATTACATACATTAAAGCAACGCAATATCATGACACAATAGCATGACACAAAAGCTAGTCAAAGAAAGAAGGGGCGGCCACGAGGGTCCCGCCATCGAAACGAATGGATAAGATCACTGACATACAGCTTTGTCCCAACATCATCTGGACTACTACTGTAAAGCTAACACTTCTTACTACACAGCTTTCAACCACAACCTCTACCCAACATCTCTTCATATAAAGCTTTCAGGTACAGGCAAGAAAGGGACTTGTTAATAACCCTTAGTCATTTAAAATAAATCAATTAAATAAATAAACAATAAATAAATAAATGAATAAATAAATAAAAAAGACAAAGAGATGTGAGAAACACATGGTCTTAAGGTCATATTTACACTTAATTTCTCCCTCTCTGCGAGTTATATATTAATATAATTGCAATCACCAGCGATGCTCTGTACAAACTGTCCCGCATACAGTGAACATCACCGTATTCAAGAAATAAACGTGTTAAATACATGAATAAATAACCAACCAACGTACAGAACAGAGCATTGTGTAGAACAGTAGGCTACAGTATGTACTGTATGGGAATGGACGAGCGCATAGACGTTTGTTAGTACAGTACCAGTGCAGTGTCCAGCTATATGTGGTGTGGTGTGTCAGATTGGTGACCAACAGCGAAAAAAAAAGCAACCTCATTGTTCAGTAAACATCTCTTTTTGTCCAGTCGTGGGCTAAGAAAACGAGAAAACGCCATCTCTGTGTAACACTTCAAAATGTAAACAGTACGCCTCGCGTTTGAAAGAAACCTAAGAACTTTTACTGTTTCTTCTATGCATGGCCAATGGAATGGACAAATGTTTTGCATCTTATTTGCTCAGCTTTTTTGACTAGGTAGCACGCTGAAAAGGGGAATTCCTCCAATATTTCAAAATTTCTGGGTAATTCATTAGTTATTTGGTTTGATGTATTGTTCTAGAGAAACCTGTTCAGAATGGTGGTGATGGGAACCAGATGTCTTGAAAAGTTTAATTAATTTAAACATAGTTTGAAAATGTCAGAAGTCCTGGCAGTGGTAACAGGAAAAACAGTCTCCAAAGAAAATGTATTTTTTCAGATTTACTATTATTTTACTATTATCAACATCACATATCAAAACTCAGAAGACACATGTAGGTTCACTAGTCATTCTGGATAGTACACAAAATGGCTATATTTGCAAGGTAGACATTTCGACCTCTGGTTCCTATCACCACCACTGTTTCTCTACAATGAACCATTTCACATCATATCATTCTGAATTACATTGTTTACATCTCAATAGCAGAATTATGCAGAAAATCTGAAAAGAAATGGTGGAATTCCACCTTAAGACAGGCGAAATGTCAAAAAGAAACTGCACCAAAATGGCCTATTAGACCAAGAGACCAAAAAGCAGATGAGCGTAGTAGCACTTTTATCTTCTTTTCAGAAAGTTTTCTAGAACAGCCAAAGCTCACAGACAACCTAACTACACTTTCTATACCTTGACCATTCTCTGCCAGAGCTGTTATACTCTAAAAAATAAAAGTTCTTCAAAGTGATGCCAGAAAACAACCATTTTTAGGGTTTGAAGAACCTCCTTTTAATGTAAAGGTTCTACACCAACTGAAGAATTACCCTAAAACGGTTCATCCAAGCCAAGAACCATTTAAGAACCTTTATTTTTAACAGTGCAGAGGCATCAGCAGACATTTCTCAGCCATTACAACAACCTCCCACATTATAACCAAATGCTCCACTTCGGGACTTATACTGATCTACCGTTCCAGCAATACTACGTTTTATTTGTCTTAGGGAGTCTTCAATGAAGACAATCTAACTGCGCCATATTAGATCTATTTTCAATCTTATGGACAGGAGGTAGTATCCATGTTAATGGGAAACACTGTTATCATCTAGTACCTACAAAGTGCTATCTGCATCTTAAGAAAGTATCCTGGTTCCGCGCTTTTGCGATATTTTTCTATCACATCGCATAAACCGTCCAATGTTACGTAACTTCCACTCACGGAACACGCTGGGAGGGGAGACAGGCGAGTGTTTTCGTGGCAAATCCCCTTAGGGCTTGGATACACTGGACACAAGTCAAAGCTGCTATTAGGAGCCTCTAAGCAGCCAATTCGATACACGATTCATTGTACAGATCATTTCCCTTGTTCTGATCTACATTTTTATCTGGTCTGCTGCCACACTGTGATGCCACACCGTGATGCACACAAGCTTCTGAGGTGGCAGTACACTCTTAGAAATAAAAGTGCTCAAAAGGTGACACAGATGGTTCTTTAAATAATAGGGCTGGGAATCTTTCAAAATTTTTCGATACTAATACCAATTCCTGAACAATAGTTACACTATGTGCGCTTTGGGGATTTGGAGACCTCTCTGGTGGAAATGTGTAATTGCATGCAACATGTGGAAGAACATTTTGTATCATCGGTTGTGCTACGGGCCCCTTACCCAAGTGGATGAATCTGACAATTATGAGCGCACTGGAAGAGTATTCAAAGAGAACTCAGTAAAAACTTGGTGAAGGACGTGTCATCAGAGAATATAAGTAAATTATCTACTGTTGTCATCACATCTTCATCATTATAATTTTGATTTTGTCAGTGTGGCATAAATCTCAACTGAGCATGAAGTGCTGACCCTAACGGACAACAAACTAATCAATAAGCACTGACATTAATAACATGCATAAGGAATGTAATTTAGACAGCTAATCAGCAGTCTAGATTTTGGAACAAGCATGCTTATTGGCTCACTAATACTGATAAGACTTGGGCATTAAAATATTTCAATACTTGGTGGTATTGAAGTAATTCAGTCAGTAGCATGAAAGTACTGAATTTCGATACATGCCCTTTTAAAGAACCACTGCATTTCTGTAAATGAGACATGAGTTCCTAGCCCAAACCAGGCCAAGAACCATTGAGGGATGTTTACTTTTAAGAGTGTGGGATTATTTAATTACTAGCATGTTTTATTAAATACTGGGAATTTGAGCAACTTGCTCAACGTGAGCCTTCATCCTTGTGCGATCTCACTGGGCCTCCGAACTGTCTCACCAGTTGATGTATCCAGGCCCTTAGCGGAAATGAAAACCCCAACTGTCAATATCGTACAAGCTGTACACTAAAAATTACATGTTCAGTGTTCACAGAGGTGGTCTGTGCGGCCAACTTAAAACCCCTTTACAATTTATGTGCAGGATCTGCAAGCAACTAAATGCTCCCTGAAAAAATACACCCTTCATATAAATACAAATCAATATAAATAAACAAGATATATATATTATATATGTGCGTGAGTGTATGTGTGTGTGTGGAGGGGACTACTAAGTAGTTGGCACATTTTACAAAATGTTATTTGATATACAAGCTCCTCCTATTTACAAAGTTCTAGCAGATTTCGTTAAGGAACAAAATGACGACTGTAAATAAGAACGACAGAGTACCATAAAGGGAAACTAATAAGTGCTATATGTCTGGTTTGAATTCACAGTTCTGATTTTGACTTATATTCAGTGCAGCCACTCAAGTAAACAATAACTGTTGTCAAAAAACAAAGTAACCGATTTTTTTTTAACAGAAAAAAAAATGGAACCGGTTTGAGGCAGTTATGTAGGAGATACAGAGCAAAAGAGGTTGTGCAGTTTCAGTCTTTGTTGTTGGAGGTCTGATGAGGAGGAGGAGGAGGCAGCTTCCTCTTCTGCATTCCAGAGTTCATTGGATTCCCAATGTCCTGATTTCCTCCCAGCATACGACTTGCTCACTCTGCGTGAAAGAAAGAGGTATATTAAGTTTGTATCTGCAAAACTGGCATTTTTGAGCCAAAACATGCTATTTACATCTCTCAAATGGTATTTGTTTTGAACCTCTAACAATTACAATCAATTATAACCTTTCATGCAGGGGGAATTTCAAATTTTCTGCATAATTAAAATCCTTAAGATGTAAACAAAGTCATTCAGAAACTGACTCAGAATTGTTAACAGTGGTGGTAAGTGTTTAAGGCCTGTAAGGGTTACATAAAATGGTTATGAATACGCTGCCTGATACATTGTTTTGTAATAAGATTTGGGCCTAAAACATACTTCTGAATTACATTCATGGTGTTTTAAGGCAAAATATTTTTTCCTCTAGATTTACCACTATTTTTTTTACTATCAACATAACATAGAAAAACTCAGCAGACACGTGTGGGTTCACTGGTGGTTTTGGATAGTAAATAAAATGGCTCTATTTGTGTTGTAGACATTGTGACTCCTGGTTCCTATCACCACCACTGTGAAGAAATCAGAGTTAGTAAGATCTCAACATCCTCTTACATCTGAATTATGGAGAAATTTTGAAAATTTACCCTTGAAAGAAGTGACATCTTGAAAATGGACAAAAATGGCACTTCCTCACTTTTATATCCCAAATAATGTCTAATAATGATAACGTCTTAAAAAACTTCATTTTTAAAACCAAAACTCTAAAATGGATAAAATTAACCTTGGAATGAATTGCCAAACCATTGGTGTCTCCCTATTAACAATCCTATTTAGTCTAGGTGTAGGCTTTAACTGAGACTGCTGCACCGTCCACTACAGTGTCATAAACACAACTTGTAAATGAACATAAGAATTACTGCTGTCTAAATTTATATGCATTAACAAAAGAACCTTCACGAGTCATTTTTAATTCTTTAACGTTCAGAAGGCCTCGTGTGTGGCTCATTGTCTGAAATGCACAGTTTAACATTATTCTAAAATGTAAAATGTTACACTCAAAACACTCTTAGAAAACAAGCTGTGCAGTACAGATGAGGATCAGCATGACAATCACAATGAAGACGGCAAAAGTGATGAATAAGAATGAAAAGTTCTGAAGAAAACACACAGGACTACTTGCTTCACAAATCAATGCCTTTACTTCGTCTTCTTCAGAAAGCTGGTGGTCACACGACGATGCTAATCCACATACTAACTGACATGTAGCATGTACACACTGAAAGTTAGCATCGCAGGTGACCGGAGCATCTCCACTTAATGGACTGACACAGCAGTTGGGATGGAATGGAACAGTGCCTTTCTACATGTCTGTCAGATTACTGCTGAAGTCTAAGGGGAGCAGTGTTGAAAAATCCAAAATATCAGCATAATAAAACCAACCGGGTACCTGTTTATGTAAACATGATATAATTAATAGATTGGTTAGGTAATTCATTATGGAAACCTCTGACCTTATTCTGGCTGAGGGGATGAAACTTGTGAGTGGCAACACTTCATCACAAGGTTCCCCTGTAAATCTCTAACGTTTGTAACTAGTTACTTTTCAAGATGTGCTGCAAAAGTCTGGCCATTAAAAAATACATTAAAAAATAAGACAAGCACATTATTTACCGTTAGTTCTAACCCCTGATCTTAGGCAATGTAAAAACAGTATGGCATGATTATCAACCTTTTTACCTTACACTGTCTGCATAATTCCATCTTTCTATCCATTCTAGAAACATACAGTAAGAACTGTTTACACTGGTGGTGATAGGAACCAGACATCTGAAAAGTTTAGTACTTTAAAAAGTTACAAAGAGCTATAACATGAAACGATTACGAACACGCTGATCCCTCAGATATTGTTTTATGATAGTTCTAAAATATGATTTTAGTCTAAAACAGTGGTGCCCAAGTTTATGCCACCTTCAAGTCCTCCTCAGAAGTTCATTCTTAAGACTTTGGAGGTCATAATTATGACTTGATTGATGAGAGTGTTGCCTTCCGCCAATGACAGCTGGGATAGACTCCAGCACCCCTGCGACCCAGAAGGATAAGCGGTTTAGAAAGTGTGTGTGTGTGTGTGTGTCTGTGAGCGATGAGAGTGTTAATTTTGTATTACTGCAACAAGGTGAAGAGCAAAGGATACTTATGAGTAATGTTTTTATTTAGTTAGAAGCATCACACAATGTGCTTATATCTCTATTTTCATGTGTGGCTGATTTGACTTTAAAATGCCACCAGTTTATCAGCGGCTAGCATTGCTTTTTTGTTGACACGGCCCCAATTCAGATACTCAGACACGAAATACGACATTGTGGTGCCGTTCATGTGCACTCATTTCATAAATATGATATTTCAACATGACTTGAAGGCAGCATTAGCTTCACCTCTAACACACCTGCTCCACATAATGAAGGTCTTCAGGGGCATCTGAATATTAGAGCCAGGTGAGTTGGATCTGAACTCTACAGGGCGGTTCATATCCAAGATTAGGCACCCCTGGTCTGAAACATAATTTTAAAATCTAGCATTGTTAGACTCAATAGTCCCCAAAGAAAACATTTTTTTTCAGATTTACCACTATTTTACCATATTATTACACATAATATTATATAATAATCCACATAAAAACTCATGGTCATATTGGATAATAAAGTAAACAGATATATTGGCTTTGTAGACATCACAACCCCTGGTTGTCATCACCACCACTGTAAAGAAATCACTGCAGCACTTCACATCAAACCACTCTGAATGACTTTGTTTAAATCTTAATGACTGGATTATGCAGAAACTTTTCAATAAATGATTATGGAAAATAGGTTTATAAGAGTACTACTGAGCATGACTATATGTGGCATGAAGAAAAGCCTCCACATACTTGGTAATTATGCTCAGTAGGCTCAACACTGAGAACAGCAGTCTTTGAATTGCACTGTATGACATCAGACCAGTATGACATCAGACCTTACATATTTGTTTACTTTGATTTTTTTTGAATATCACGTAACTCCTTGAATGCACTGAAATTACCCAATCTTCTACTAATGAGCGGGTCCTGGCAACACAAACCTCCTCATTAAAGCTATACTCAAGTGTATGTTGCACAAAAGCTAGCTGAACATGAAGACACATGTCTTACAGACATGCTCGATGCACAGAAAGTCTGTGTGTGGGTCTGAGAGGATGGCTAATGCATGCCGAAATGACACCACAAAAACATTCATATCAAAGATTCAGCCCTATTGATCTCCTGATAACTGTCTCTATTAAGAAAGCCCAAAAAGACAATGCTATCTGCATGTGCTTATCTTTAATGTGGATTCATAACCTCACTTTACAAATCCATATCTGTCCTACAAAGACTTGGGTGCCCATAAAAACAACAACAAAAATAAAAAAACAAAAACAAAAAAACAAAGTCTATTTAAGTGCATTTTTCAGTACAAAACAAAAAGTGAAATTTCTTTGTTATTTTTTAGTTCAAATAAAAAAAGTGACTCCAGGTCCCAAGGACTTTTTTTTTTATACATTTTAAATGTTTCACTACATTGACAGGGATAACTATTCAATGTTGAGGGGACACTTCTTATTTAAACTCTGCTTAAGACAGTGTAAACAGCAGCCATTTCGCATCAAAAAAGCAGAGCAGAAAACAAAGACAAGTTCAAGTGTAGCACAACACCTTAGCTACAATTAAAGGACACCAGAATACTATCAGTTAGAGTCTGCATTATATATATATATATATATATATATATATATATATATATATATATATATATATATATATATATATATATATACACACACACACACACACACACACACAAATATATTGCACATTGCCTAATTATTCAAATACACAAGCCACCATGCTAAAAGTTAAATGAGCAAATGTAAAGGAAAAAATGTAAAGTTAGCATGGTAACCACTCATAAAGGCACTTTCTGGGTTAGTTGTCATTTAATTTGTAGCATAAGGGGAGACAGAAATACAACCAACCTTTTGAGGCAGTGGTGTGTCCTCCTGACATGGAGAAGTCTATACCAGCATAGGCCTCACTCTCTTGGAGGGTCCCATGAGCTGGGTGCGGAGGGGGGGCATCGCGGGTGATCCTGGGGACTTCCCTCAGGTCCAGAGCAATGTAGTTGAGGTAGCTGGATGAAGCGTTCCGGCGCGTTCCTCCAGTAGCACAGTTTGGAGAAAGGGCAACAGAGTCAGGAGATCCTTGATCTTCCGTGTGAGACCACACGCTATCAAACGAGGCAGAATTCTGCCACCTGCTGCCTTCTGCGAGACTGAGGTTGGCAGGGGCTCTGATGTTGCATCCACTGGCGGTGCCACCAGGCGAAGGGATGAAGGTCTCTGAGCTGTGCCTCCTCCGGCCCTGCGGATCCGCCCTGATGACCTTGGGCTCCATCTGGGGACTGGGAGGCCTTTCTGTCACACAGAGGTGCTGGATCATTCTGGAGGGACTTCCAGCTTCCGCACATCTAGCGTGGACCTTCACGGGGTCATAGTCGGCCTGAGTGCGGCCATAAGCGCACCCTAAGGGGCGCGCGTAGTTCGGGGGGTTCCATGGAGCTACAAGCGAGTGGCGAGGAGGGCGGTCTTTCAAGAGACTGTCCATGTTCAGACCTAAGTAGTCATGGTCCGGTGAGGAGCAGCAGAGCTGATAGCAGGGCTGGGAGCTTGGTGTGGAGGGGGAGTCCATAGCTGATGGGGAGGAGGCAGCATGAGGAGGCCTGTCACTGAAATCCATGTGAATGTACTCTCCTGGACTAGGCGGGCTAGGCGGCTCGGCCGGGGACATGGGAACGTATTCTGTCTGTTGACGATTCTCTCGAGACGGAGCTTTGTAGGAGCGTGGAAGGGAGAAGTAAGAACCGTGAGATTTGGGCCCTTCGGGGGAGGCTGGGGTGTAGCCTTCAGCTGAGGCGATTTGGGTCATATCCATGTAATCATCATACTCCGCCTGGTTTCTGCTAGAGGGGCTGGTTATTCCTGGTGAAGGGCTGTCTGCAGGCAGCATCATCATATAGCCATGCCTGTCCACCTGTTGCGAAGAGCAGGGATAAATGTCCAGAGTGGCCGGATGGTTTGCTCTGGGTTGCATAGGGGTGTAATCTGCATTAGGAGAGGGGACAATGTTGTACATCATGGGCATGTAGCCATCATCTTTAGGCAGTTTCTTTTGACCGTCAGAGTTGAGCGAGGGAGGCCTGGTTGGGTGATGTAACTCAGAGTAAGACTTATAGCCTGCTTTAAGGAGGCACAAGCACACTGGGTGCCGTTTTGACTCCACAGGGCTCGATTCATCTAATGAAGATGAGGTCTGCGTAGCTTTCTGGTGCATAACACCTAAACCATTGCCAAGCTTTGGCTTGGAGGAATGTGTGAGCTTGAGGAAAGTCCTTTCCATGTAACTGCTCTCCTCCTCAAAAGTCCTGGCCCCGCCCTGCGTGTCCTTGTGCCAATCCATGGCCATGTAGTCCACCAGTCGGTACTCCTCCCTAATGGGTGGAGTGTTGCCGTGGGACTCAGGGGTGCTGCTGCTTGCACGAAAATACCTAAAGTCACAAGGGCTGGGGCAGAACTCATCAGAGGAGTTAAAGCCACCGTCACTCGGAGAGCCACAGATGGAGGAGCTGGAGGGCCGCGTATGCGTGTCCGAGGCCGAACCATGGCCACTGCTGCTGGAAACGCTGATGGGACTGGTGGCAGACAGGAAGTGAGAGACAGGGAGGGAGGCAGAGCGGGTATGATGGGCGGAGCCAGGCGAAGCATGAGCGCAGCAGCCACCGCTCTCCTCCCGGCCTATGTTCAGACAGGGGGTGTTCAGGTGCACCAGGCTACCTGTGCCCGAGCTGAGGGGCCGGTTCGAGGTGCCTTCCCCTTCACTGGATGTACGGTAGCGCTGACCCCTTCCTCCTTTACTGCTTCCTGTGGGAGGAGTTCCCGTAACCGAATCGGTTCTGGAGGGGCGTTGCAGCCCCGTCTGGCTGGGCGGCAGGTTGCCAAGGTGGCGGCGGGTTGTGATGAAGGGGACAGGATTGGACCCGGATGACTGGCTTTTGCTTCGCGGTCTGAAGTCAGGGAAGGCCTTCAATGCTTTCATGGTGTCCAGAATGGTCTCGTGCATGTTCTGAGCCACCACAGAGTCCTCCACCTGCACCCAGATCTCACCTGGCCCGATGGAAGAGGAGCGGCCCACCTCAATGAAGAAGAAGCTCTCCGAATGGCCGCAGCGGCGAATGTTCATTAATGGCAGGTTCACAGCAGGGGTCTCCGAGTTCAACTTCACCAGGTGAATTGTCTTGGCGGAAAGGCACAGACGGTACACCCCCATTAAATTCTTGGTCTGCCCCAAACCTTTGGGTTTCACGTTCACCTGCCACACCTCCTTGAAAATGGTTCCAGGTGAAATCGTCCCATAGCCGTCGTCCAGCTCGTCAGTGTCCAGCTGCCCCTTTTTGCCCTCTGTCATCAGCTCAGTGAGGGCCAAGTACCAATCCTCCTGCTCCTGCTCGTTGTCAGCCACCATAGCAAAGTACTCGTCTTTAGTATAAAGAGCAATGAGGTATTTGTTCTTAGCGTCAGCCCTCTTGTTGACTGTAAAACACTGGGATAGGTAAATAACCCTCTTAGGAGGGCATGCAACACTGGCAGTTGAGGCAGCAGCTTTGAGTGTGTTTCTGAATTTCTTCTCACTGTCGTAATACTCCAGACGGCTGGGCCCAAGGTTGCTGGGGCCTCTCAAGACGAAAAACCTCTTGTGGCCGTGCTTCTGCTTGCGGAGATAGCCACATTTCCAGATGTCTCTGTCCACGCCGGCCGAGCAAACGGCGGCGGCAGCGAGAGCAGCAGCGGTCGTGTCAGCGCTAAGCACACGGCAAAAGGCAGAGTCATGGACCTTATACTGAAGCGCGGGCAGGTTTTTCCTCGCCAGAGGCTCCTGAGTGTTGTCGTCGGGGAAAAGATGATGGACTCTGAAATGGTAAGGCGGATGGTGCCTCCTTGGCGGCGGACCTTGGTGAGAAGAGGCCGTCAAGTGTACGGGCAAGCGGGAGCCGCTGCTGTTGACTGAGAAGGAGGAGGAGGAGGAGGAGGAGGATGGAGGCTCCCCGGTAGAGGTGTCGCCGTTAGTCGTGGCCGCCGCCGTTTTCGTGACAACACGACGCGGCTGCGCCTCCAGCGACAACATAACGCCGTTCTTTTGGAAATCTGGCAAATCTTCCATGGGACAATGCGATTAAAGGTCACTTTACCTCGGCTACACCGATGCACGGCCCATTTTTTTTGGTTTTGCAGCCTCGGAGCTCCAGATAAGATTTCACGCCTTCGAGTAAAATCCTCACCGCCGTCTGAGGGGTCGCCGCGGCGCGTCTGCGGCACGAAACGCACGACGAGAACGTTGCATGGTAGCAGACGGGCCGTAATCGCTGGCTGCCATTATCAATCTTTATTTCTCCCCTTCACTCATGGTGGCTACACATCACTACAACCCAGCGAAAACATCACGTGACGCGGACGTCAGCGCGCAGTTCAGGGTGAACGGGAGCGGGGGGGCCGAGCCGGCCGCCTCTGATTGGTCCGTTGGCGGAGAGCGTCGCGATTGACGCGGCTCTAAGCCAATCAGATCCATCCGTCGAGCGGCCGCCTGCACGCGATTGGAGGTTTGTAGAGCGTCTAGTCGTGTGTGCAGACGGAGGCGGTGCTCGGTGGGAAAAAAAATATATCTTTGTAATGAGAAGAAGGACGAGGCACCGAGAGGAGACAGAAAAGGCGAAAGGATGCGGAGGTCGAGTACGTCGCCGTTCTGTTTGACCAGGGAATATTAGACTGTGTGACACAGGATTAGTCTCGCGTTATTCCTCTATTATATGAATCAGTATATTTTGACACTCGCCTCTGTCGACAGCGCGGTTAGAGGATTTACTTATTTATTTATTTGGTCTGTTAAAGGTCCTTCCTTCCTTCCTTATTTATTTATTTATTTATTTATTTTCTACAAGCTCTGTTATAGGTCTTCATTTACTGACTGATTGATTGATTGACTAACACTGGACTCACCTAGTGTGCATCTTTCATTTAGGTAGCTCTTTAGGTACTTGTGTTATGAACATAGGAGATACTGAAAATTAGCAGAATGTCTGATATCATATCAGGTACAACTGTGATATTATTCAGTTGTTGGTGAAAAAAACAGACATGACCCCTCCCCCTCCCCCGCCCCCCCCCAACCACCAACATCACCACCACCACCACCTCATTGTAGGTGCAAGAAATTTTCCATATCGACATATATGTTTTAAAAGTTTATTTAATGTAAAGCAGTAATTAATTACAGTATTTTTGTTAATGGGTAGTTTTTTCAAGAGAGCACTTCCCTGAGTTGATTCTAAAAGAAATTTACATTATTTTGTCATGGTTCTCATCACACTTGACAGCACAACAGGATTCACACAACCACAATACAGGGGGGGCATATCCAGGCCTGATGGGCCAGTGTACAAATTTTTCCCTTTAGCACACCTGATAATTAGTTACTATGTGGAATAAGATGTGTTAGAGGAGGGATAACACGTGGGGACCTTCTGCCCTGAAACTGTGCAGGGCAAAAGGGCCCCCAGGACTGGAGTTGAAAACCACTACCTTAGAACAGGAGTCTTGTCCACAAAGGGCTGGTGTGGTTCATTTCAAGTAACAGCACACTGTGTATAACTAATCAATTGTTTGAAGACCAACTGATTAAACAACAGGGTTCATGTGTGCTTCTGCTTGACTGGAATGAACACCTGCAGCCACACCAAGCCTTTGTGGAAAAGATTAGTGACCCATGCGTTAGAACAGAACTTCCCAAACCTGGTCCTTGAGGCCCACTGCTCTGTACTTTTTAATGCTTTCCCTGGTTCAATGTACACACCTCATTCGATTAATCAGGGCCCAGTTTTCCCAGAGCATCTTATTGTTAAGATCATTTCAACTGGTAGACAGAGTGTTCAGTGTGATGCACGCTCTACCATTTAAGAATGATCTGTGTGCTAAGATGATTTCAGGAAAATCAAGCCCAGCTTATTAACAAACGCTTAGCGATGCTGCGTTTGAGTGGTGTTGGAAATTGGATGATACCAGTTTTCCAATTAGTAATTAACACCCAAACAGCGGTTTAAGCTGTATTTACAAACCAGACATTCAGAATTGTAAATGTCACATGAGTTCATGAGATGGGACACAGTGCACCCCTTCCCCAATTCTAACATTAAACAATGGTAAACTTGGCAATGTATGTGGGAAAAGTATACACGATGCACTTGTATGTAATATTTGCGTTTTTAAAACAGTAGAGAAACCCACCCCCCAGGTAAATTACTTTGTTACAATGTTAGCATATCCTCTACAGAGGACAGACTTAAATGTCATAACTTTTTGGGTTTTATTTTTTCCCCAGTATCTCAAATTCAGTGAATAAAAGTGTGTATTACAATGTGCAAAAGTGTGTTTTCTGTAGAGCATATGTACTCATTTTCACAAAACATGTCATTTGACCAGGGATGCACAAACATTTGCATATGACTACACATATTGTCTGGATCTCCTTGCTTTCTTTTTCCATGTGGTGGCTGTTATCGTCCAACAAGCATCCAAGCAGGTCATTTGTACTAGTTAGTCCATGTGGTATATACAACCTTCCTTCAAGCACCTGAACACAGTACAAGTTGAAGTGGGTGTTTTGGAGCAGAGAAAACACTAAATGACCAAGAACAATTGGCCTCCAGGACCAGGATTGAGAAGTCTTAGAAGTACAAAGATTGTATTTATGTTCACTTTGCAATATCCCTTCAAACCAGTACTTATATTACTTACACAATAACCAAAAAGGAACAAGCCTAAACAGCTCAAATACTAGCTATAATGCACTCAAGTACCATTTCTTGTTCTGAGATATAATATGGAAACTATAATGAGCTATTTACACACCTCCAGTATGAGTTTCAGGTAGATCCTCTTACATAGTCCAGCAGCCACTCAATGGACTTGAGTGAACTGGGTTAATGGCCAAGAACAGAGTCTGATCTGATCCCTCTCAGGCTTAGTGTAATAGTCCCATAGGCTATTTATAAACACAACACAGCCAAATTCATTTGAAGAGCCTCTTACTGAAGTATAATCTCCAGGTGCGCAAAGCAGTTCACCCTTCGACACTCACACATACCTCATCCTCCTTGCTTAATGTATCTTGTATGTCCACTGTTACCTCCAGTTAAATGAATCTGGCTAGCATCTCATGATCTAGAACATTGCCCTAAGTTTTTGCGTAGAGGGTCATTTCTTCATGTGTTCTCCTTATCTGCTGCCTCATACTGGGAATAAAGGGAAGAAGCTGAAATAAATGTTCTCAGTCAATACTTGCACTTTAAACGAGTCAGAACTTTTGCATTTCTGGATCTTGTAAAAGTCCACTTTAGCCGTTCGCAGACATGGTTTTTCACAACGCCCTGGTGGGCCGGTTCTGTCAGTGATGGTGGATCATAACATTATCCTCAGTGCCTTCCACGGTGGGCAGCTGGGCCACGTGTCTCACAAGCGAAAGCCTCCTCACTGCCTTCTTCAGCACCTGCTTGAAGTCTCGTGCAGTCTCTGGCCTGCAAAACACAATGAAATGAATGAGCAACGTCAGTTCAGATGCTGTGTCGGCCCTCCCTCGCACCAGAGGACTCCCTCAGTCAGGCCTGGAACCAAGTTTATACATGTATTAGTCTTTTAACAAACACTCTTAAAAATAAGGGTTCCTGGATATACAATTTTTAATTTGTATAACTTTTAATTGGTATAAAACCTTAAACAGGTTCTGTTTAAGCTTAAACTTTAAAAACAACTCAAATTCTTAGGCCACCAAAGTAATTCTTTTGAGGCATTTCTCCAAAGAACCCTTTTTTTTTGCCACTTTTGTTTGAAAGAGTGGAGAAGGAGCCTCATACAACCATGTTGAAACTTCTGAGCTTTAACTTTGTTTCAGTCTGGTCCTCAGTTATGGGATGCCTGACAGTGTATTTCCACACGTACCACTGACATTGTTCATTTGTAGCCTCATTATGCAGTTTGTTGAAAAGATAAAAGGGGTACAGCTGCCAGACTGCAGGAAACATAGTGAAAGCTGGGTAGTTTAAATATGGTTGTTTTAAGAGGAAAGCACAAAAGGAGAGACAGAAATAAAGGAAGTGGCACAGGCACCCATATTCCATATGAAGGCGTATTCATAAAGCATCTTGAACCCTTAGACTCTTTCTGGATCAGTGCTGCTTATCAGTGTCTTCTCCCAGAGCCTGTTGACACTGACATAACTGTGATGACAATGCCAAAAAATCATAAGCAGATAACTAGCCAATCAGATAAACACACATTTTGTCTTGAATGTGTTCAAGCTGACAGCTCAGAATCATACGCCTGATGAAAGCTTATCAGATTCTTTATGAATACTTCATCCACTTTGGATTCTTTATGAAAGATCTTGCCTCTCCACTGCTTTGAGAGACAGTTACATATAACGGTGACATTAAAAAAAAAACAGCAGGGAAAGCATTTAGATGAGTGTGGAGGTAAAGAACAGGGCTGTTGCTTCTTCAGGCAATGAACGATCCAAAAGTCAGGTACCCAACAATGTTATCTTCCACGCGTAACACTACCTCAGTTCTTCTTGGCTAGCTGTGCCGCCTCAGCTTTCTTCCGCTTGTATCGGGCTATTTCCTCCATCTGCAGGCCGTGGGCCATTTGCCTGAAAGATATATCGAAGAGGCACGATAAACAAGCCAAACACAGCAAAGGGGCAGCTAAGACCAGGGGCAACCAACTTCACTCATGGAGGTTCTCCTATCCTTACTGTCAAAGACAACTTTCAGATTAGGTCCAGTTTGACTATGGTTCAGCCATAGTATCAAATGTGAATTTTTAAACCCACATTCAGACAAAGCTTTTCAGTTTTTAAAAAAAGTTCTGTGAAATGAGCATTAAAGGATGCTAGCCTCCAGGAACAAGGCTAGCTACCCCTAATCAGATTTTGGTCAGAATACCTACCCTGACTTGAGCTCTGGAGGCACAGGCAGTGGTTTAGTGAACCCATCTCTACCCACTAACCAGTAGGTTTCCTCCATGCCTTTGCCCTGCCAGGAGAGGTGAAATTTTAATGCTAATGTTAATGCTAATACAAACCCATAGATATCCATACCTAGATGCCGCGTTGCCTGTTGTTCTCTATGTGAGGCGATACGTCTGTGCGTCCGCCATGTTGGAGCGGTCAAGATCCACTTGTGAACAAGTTCACTTGTATTGATAGATGATGAGTCTCAGGATTAAATCAGCCACAACTTCCTTATTGCCCAAGTGATTTTCACCAAGTTTGTTTTGTTATAATCCTCAGACACAGATTAATCTGGGCTGTACGAATGGCTCTTGGTAGCTTTTATTTCTTTAATAACTGATCGTGCTAATTAGCCATCCAGACCAGCATAAAAGTATTCAGTCTGACGTTAAAAACCGAGTTTAGTATGAGAAACATAATCACACACACATCAGCAAATCCATCAATGTGTGAATCACTTCTAATCTTAATATACATAAAAATAAAATAAACCCCCAAAAGAAGGACGAAGCTGAATGTCTTCCTATTCGCCCGCTGCTTCTTCGAATTTTCCCGTTCCACCTTAAACGGGAGCAGCAGCAGTAACTTTCTGGTGCCTGAAGCTGCACCATTTAAGGTGGATTGGGAAAGTTTGAACAAGAAGCTGGCAAATAAGAAGCTGACTTCAGGTTGGTGTAAGAAGGTGCTAACGCTAATCTATGATGAATATCTACACGGATTAAGGAATGCTATAATTTACCTACAAAGCAATATCCAGCATTGTAAATAAATAACTACTACATAAAGTTCAGATCCCCTGAACAGACTATTAAATGAAATAAGCTTAATATAAAACCAGAGGAAAAACAATCACATCAACAGGTTCTCTGTGCCTCACAAACCACACGGCCATATCTACACATAAACATCACACAAACAACACGCATCACACAAACATGAGCATAGATCTCTGCGTTCCCTCCGTTATATAATCCTATAATTTCTGAGAGCAATATTCTTGAAATAGTGTAATTTTGGACAGCATCGTTCTTAAACTGAATACAGTCCAGTGGTGATGTTGACGTGCCTAACTGGATCCAATGCGGCATCTAGGTATGTATATCTATGATAGTAACCACACTACTGAACTAAGGCTAATAGCTTTGGTATTAGCTTTATTCAAGATGGTTTTGGGAAAAATGCCTAAATAAGCCAAGTAAATTATAATTCAATCAAAGCATTGAACTTAAAAAAAAAACCAATATCTCTCCCTACAACTGTATTTCACAACTAATAAAACTTTAACACAATCAAAATCTAGTAACCAGAAATAATCGGCCTACACTGCATTTAAATATTGGAATGTTAACAACAAGACTTGTACAAACATAGCTTTCTTTTTCAAAAGATTAAGCGAATCTTCACCTTTAGTTCAGTTCTTCCACGAAGTTCGACCTTGTAGCCCTCCTTCAGATCAAGAAGGATATTAACAGTGGTGTGACTGACGTGGATGCGGTATGCTGTGGACAAAAATGACATGCTGCTTTACGGGAAAGTCTCTCTGAACTTCACCATGCCCACAAATGTTTTCAATGTATTTCAAATATTATAATGTACACACTGTGCAGTACAGAGTAACAGTACAGAGACTACCCTTTATTTATTACCAGTCAAAACAGCCATTAAGTTCAAGTCCTTTGCCTTCATTACATCTTCAGTTCTCACTCCAGTTTTGGAAACTCCTGCTTTTTCACTTGCTTTCCCCTTTCTTAAGCAAGTGGATTATATCTTCGGAAATCTCTTCAGAAATATCTCCTAAGAAATGAGTAAGTTCTATTTAATGGCCATTTTGCCTGAAAAATATGGTCTCAGACTTTTGCGCAGTGCTGTAGATTTTTGCATTTACCTTAATTAGTATTTACTTATTTAATTAAGTTTAAAAATATATTTTTTATATTTTTATATTTTTTACTAACTAAAATACTTGGTGAATACTGGCCCTGAGGAACCCTTTATGATTCTCTCTAAGTCACCACTGCAACTCACAAAAATCAGTGAAGTAATTAATTGCAAAAAATATACAAAAATCCAACAAACCAAAAAGTATATTTCTTGCGCCACTGTGACTGTGTTAGCTGTGACTACGGAGCTCAATAACGCAACAGTGTGATTTCAGGTTGGTCACCCAGAATTCTTCTCTGCTCTTGGGCAACAGCGTATCTGAGCACCACAGGAGGCAATGCCCTCATTGTCATCATGTTTATAAGTACTAATTAGACTGACTTACGCATCCCTGTGGACTCCATCCTGGAGGCAGTGTTTACAGTATCCCCAAACAGGCAGTAACGGGGCATGGTGAGACCAACCACGCCAGCCACACAAGAACCTGAAAAACACAATGTCTTGGGTCATGCATTGTTTTATTGCCAAGACATTTGGAAGAACAAGATATAGCAGGTATTTCAGATATACACTCACTCAGTACTTTATTAGGAACACTATACTAATACTGGGTAGAGCCTCCCTTTGCTCTTAAAACAGCCTCAGTTCTTTGTCGCATGGATTCCACAAGATGTTGGAAACATTCCTTTGAGATTCTGGTCCTTCTGGACATGACTGCATCATTTTCCAGGTGCACTTTCATGCTGCGAATCTCCCGTTCTACCACGTTCTACCATCTACTACTGGATTCAGATCTGGTGACTGGGAAGGCCACTGAAGAACACTGAACTCATTGTCATGTTCATGAAACCAGTATGAAACTTTTGCTTTTAAACATGGTGCATTATCATGCTGGAAGTAGCCATTAGAATATGGGTAAATTGTGGCCATGGAGGGATGCACATGGTCAGCAACAATACTCAAACAGGCTGCAATTCAAGTTATGACTGATTGATATTAAGGGGTCCAAAGCGTGCCAAGAAAACATTCCCCACACCAATACACCACCTCCACCAGCCTGGACTGTTGACGTAAGGCAGGTTGGGTCCATGGATTCATGCTGCCAAATTCTAAACCCTTCCATCTGTGTGCCTCAGCAGAAATCGAGATTCATCAGACCAGACTGCATTTTTCCAATCTTCAGCTGTCCAACTTTGGTGAGCTCGTGCCCACTGCAGCCACAGCTTTCTGTTCTTGGCTGATAGAACTGGAACCCGAGGTGATCTTCCGCTGTTGTAGCCCATCCCCCACAAGGTTTGATGTGTTGTGCATGTGGAGATGCTACACAGATTGTACAGCGTGGTTATCTCAGTTACCATAACCTTTCTGTCAGCTCAAACCAGTCTGGCCCTTTTCCACTGACCTCTATCATCAACAAGGCTTTTCCATCTAGCCGCAGAACTGCTGCTCACTGGATAAGTTTTCCTTATTTCACCATTCTGAATAAACAATAATAGCTGTTGTATGTGAAAATCCCACGAGAGGGGCAGTATTAGAAATACTCAATCTGGACCCAATAATTATGCCACGATCAAAATCACTGAGATCACATTTTTTCCTCATTCTGATGGTTGATGTGAGCATTACCTGAAACTGCTGGCCTGTATCTGCATGACTTTATGCACTGCACTGCTACCACACAATTGGCTGATCAAATAATTGCATGAATGAGTAGGTGTAATAAACTGATGGTGAATGTAATGTTTCTTTTCTAATACACTGTGGAGATCTTAGGCTCATGCGCAGCTGCTTCCATTCTACTGACAGTGGTATTCTGTATTTGCTCAACTGAATGCTTGTATCAGAAATGAGTTCACCTTAAACTAGTTGAATTCATTAATTAGGAGGGGTTTCTAGATATTTTTGGCCTTATAGTGTTCGCCTTACAGCATCACTTAATCACTTCCGCTTAGTGCAGTAGACAAAACAGTGCAGTAATATTTTGCGCAATAACTTACAAAAATGATATAGTATTAAAGTCAACGTGAACCTGACATCATAACACATTTTCCTTTCATACTGTGATGTATTTCAAACTGCAGTCCCACAGTGAAACAAACTATTAAAAAAACAAGTATTCAGAGCTTAGATATTTACTTTATACTTTATTTATTATATAAGGATTTTGTTATAGTCTATTTGAACTGAAAGGCATTAATTGATATAGTTATAAGACAGGGCGTCCAATCTAATCTGCAAAGGGCTGGTGTGGCTGCAGGTTTTTGTTGCAATAAAGTAGGAGCCCACGTGATCTGTTGAAAAAGGGTGAGAGTGACTGATTAAAAGAGTGGAATCAGGTGTGTTCTACTTGTTTGGAACGAAAACCTGCACCCCCACCATCTCTTTGCGGATAACACTGGACAGAGAGAACCACTACCAAAACATATGGTAAAGTTTCGGTAGTGTTATGATTGTTTCGGTAGTGATAAAATGTAATGTTACCTTATTTATTTTAATAGAATATGCAAATATTACGCATACATGCTTATAAGTAAGGCATACAGTCACTCAAAGCAAAAGGATATCAGTCTGAAGTCCAAGTCAGTCAAAAGTCTAAAATATGTTTTTAATACAGTCTTTGAACCAATTTGGTAGAATGATCCAATGGGTTTAATGTCCAACAATAATATTTTCTGTCATTTCCTGACTAATTTGTTATAGTTGAAGATGTTTCTCTGGCTTGAAAACACCAGAGTTCCTCCATAGTTGTGATCTGGGACATTTACAAGAGAGAGTTTTCTGATATTCAGATATGTGTCTGAAAGAGGTGCTACTGACCCGTGTGCAGTCCAATGCGAATGCGGACCGGTACATCAGGCATGTGTCTCATCTTAAAAGTACCAACAGCACTGAGAATGTCCAGTGCCATGTTGGCTATCTCTGCAGCATGTCGGTTTCCATTGCGAACAGGCACACCGGACGCCACCATGTACGCATCTCCTATTGTTTCCACCTGAACGTCGGTAAAAAATCCAGTGTATATTAGTTCCAGATCTTCACAACATCTAAGCTTCTAAAAACATTAGTTACCTTAAGAGTGTCAGTGTTAAATGGATTAGTTATTGCATGCATGTACAGTATATTATTTTATGCAATGGCTGCTCCCAGCTTATTTATATTTCACTGCTTTTAAAGGTCATGACCAATGCATGTTTCTATATATACGTCAGGCTCTCATGCAGTTGATTTCTTTGCAGAGGAAGCATGTAATACGCGATATATGGTCATTCCTCTAACCTCCATAAATTCTTTCAAAATGATTTGGGGCATTGAGGTGAAAACTGTTATTTTTGCTGTACACTGAACTATATTGAATTGGAAAAATGAAAAAACGTGGATAAAAATGTGAGGTACAAAATGTGGGGAGTTAAGGAATATTTCGAGATTTTTCATAATTCTATGGTGTACAACTCACATTTTGCACACTCAGACTACACACTTTGCATTTCATTACATTTCATTCATTCATTTTGTTATATTTCACTCAAATTTAGACATGATTATGAGAGTTCTTTACCTTATAGACATCATGGTTTCCAATAATCGCATCGAATAAGGTGTACAGGTCATTGAGCAGGTCTACGACTTCAATGGGCTCACTGTTGGCAGAGATGGTAGTGAAGCCAACTATGTCGCTAAAGTACAACGTCACGTTGTCAAAATACTCTGGTTCCACTGTGCAGCCAACTTTGAGGGCCTCTGCAACTGACCTGGGGATAGAAGACACACTTAAATATCTCATATTGCAAAGCACAATGACAGTCCTTCTTTTTAAACTTGAAAGATGTGTAAATATATGTCTATTTAACGGAATTGTAAAACAAGTCTTATTTTAAAGGGGTGTAAAATGCACCAGTGCACTGTGCGATCAAACTGAAGTGGAAATGGCACAACACAACTTTATCTTTTCTGATTCCGATATTTAAATATAGAGAAACAGCAGATACAAATGGATTTTTTTTCTTTAAAAAACAACAAAAGTTTAAAATGAGCTATTTAATTGAGGCACTTCAGTTAAAATTACCATCATGATCAAACTATTCAAGCAAATACACAACAACATGACATCACACCTCTTCCGGACACTGATTCCAGATACCTTCTCTATGCTGAAGGTCAAACATGTTTTGGCCAAAATACAATATAGTCCTTTTCTTATTGCCTGCATCCAACTACAGTGTAAATAAATGGTCCTGTGATATTTGTAAGCTCACTGGACAAAGAATTAGTCGCATTGTTTCTTTTCTAATACACTGCAGGGGTAAAAGTACACTTGACCATCACACCTATATGAACTTGTTGGTTGTCCCATTCTAAAACCATGAGCTCCTCCTTTGCGGCTATAACAGCTTCCGCTCTTCTGAGAAGGCTTTTCCACAAGATTTTGGAGTGTGTCTGTGGGAATTTGTGCCCATTCAATTAAAAGAAGATCATTTGTGAGGTCAGATACTCACAAGGCCTGGCTTGCAATCAACATTCTAGTTCATCCCAAAGGTGTTCAATGGGGTTGAGTTTAAGACTGGAGTTCCTCTAAACCAAACTCATCAAACTATGTCTTTATGGAATTCACTTTTCTCACCATCTAGATGTTTCCATTTCACATTAATAACACTTACACTTGACAGGGGCAGATGTAACAGGGTAGAAATTTCACAAACTGACTTGCAAAGGCGGCATCCCAAGACGGTGCCATGTTTAAAGTCACTGAACTCTTCTACTGCAACTGTTTGTTTCCTTGTTGGATTTTATATACCTGTAAGCAATGGTGTGGCTGAAACTCCTGAACTCAATAATTAGGAGGGGAGTCCACATACTTTTGGCCATGTAGTGTACATGGTTACAGTCTCAATCCTGTCAGGTAAGAGTTATATTAGTGTCTTGAGATCCATTCTAGCCCCCTTTTCCGTGTACCGAACGCACATTTAAACCAGAGCTCGTGTCTATTTAAGAATTTTACCTGCTGTTCCTGTTTGAGAATTGGGATTGAAGTCTGAGGATTTAGCTGGTCAGTCAAACTGTGAAACAGTGATGCATAATGTCTGTTGAAGCAGTTACATACAGACACCCTACAGCTGATGTAGAGAGAGTGTCAGACGTGAAGTGGAAAAGAAGACCAAAACAGACAAGAGACTGGAGCAACCATCATCTAAGAAGATTTGTTATCAAAGCAACTGGACGCTTAACCAAGTATTAGAGAAGCAATAATGGGTGTTGCTAATTTTTTTGTCCAGGGAGCTTATGTTCAGTGTATTAAAAAAATTAGTCTTGTAACAGTCCGGAATCGTACCAAATAATTATACAGTGGAGGAATCACCGAAGACTGAATCTATCCTACAGCATTATAATCAAATGGAATTGTTGTGAGGTTTACACTACTTAATATAAGGATGTTTGGAAGTAAGTATGTCTGTTTCTAGTGTGTTCACATATGTTTTTGAACACACATCAAGAATAAGAATATGTAACACTCACGGAGGCAGCATCTGAGTAAGCAGTTTTTCAGTTTTCTGCTTTTCAATCTCCAGCTCCTCCGTCCTCTCTCGAATGAGCTCTTCCAGGTTGGAGGAGTACTGCTCCAACATGCGTAGCATGGAGTCTATAATGTTTGTTTTCTTCCCCTTGTTAATGTTCCTAAACTGGGGGCAAAGACAACATTTCAGGGAGCTCTCAGCTGACACATGAAATATAAAAGCCCATCTAACATAACAGAGTTCTCTAGGACCAGTAAAGAATCACTTATTATGCTGCAGTGCTAAAAAAAATCAGAACTTTGTAGACATTTAATGTATTCAGACTTTTCAGAGACTCATAATTCACAATTGACAATTTGTTCCTTACTGCAAATGTAGTTGACCATAATGTAGCTAACAAGTCACTTGTTGAGACAAAACCTTGTATCTCCAAAATAGTAACTTTACAGGAAAAAAATTTCTTAACTTTGAATGGGACTTAATAAAACACGATTTTCCTTCCAAGTAATTCTGGACCATTTCTGTGTGTCCACTCATTATTATTAACACAATATGAAGAGCCGCTGGAATCAGTTTGTCACACCATGTCAGAAACCACATGAGCAAGTCTATTTGAGATTATTTAACGACTAAATGTGTTTTGAAGTAAGTCTGTGATGATTTAAGCATTTAGTCTGCACCATGCTATTCTGGTTACTAATTTACTTGTTAGCTACATTCGCCTCATAGCTCAAGTGCAAAACTAAAGAAGTAAACTTCAGACACCAAACATGTCATGGCTAACCAACTACATTTACAGTTAGGGAAAAATTGTCATTTGTGAATCTGAAGGGTCTGAAGAGACTGAATTTATGCAAGATTTTTTAGCACTGCAGTCTGATAAATAATTCTAATTCTATTGAAAAAAGCGTCACCTGTTCAAAGATTTCGTCGAAGCTGGGGCGTCGGTCGGCCTGCTCATTCCAGCACTGTTTGATGAGCTGAATGCATTCCATAGGAGCATAATCAGGAGAAACCACAGGCCTGCACAGTGGAGGGGGCTTCTTAATCCTCTGAATGATTTCTGTAGATCAGAAGACAGTTCAGTTGCCATTTATGTTGATCACAAGCTTTGAGCTGATACAACTGGAAATTCTGGTTAAATTTCCAGTCATGAGTCAAGAGATCCAAATATTACTTCAAAACAAAATAGCAATATAAGAAAGCTACTAAGAATCAGTTATAAGTACCAAATTATCTTCCTGCTGGTGCTCGCTAGCAATCAGGGCTAGAAAATACTTAAGTGAGTTAAAAGTACTTTTTACTATACTTAAGTATCATTTTGGAATTTTTGTGGTCTACTTAAGCATTATTGAAATTGAATAATTGTACCCTTACTCAATTACACTTTCATTTTCATTTAGACCTTCAAAAACTCCTTACAAATCTAAAATGCCAGAAGGTTTCTCTGTCTTTTTTATTTTTCTCTTGCTAGAGGTCCTTTGCATTACATAAAAATAAAAATTCATATCAGTGTAAAATGAAACTATACACAACTGTGCTGATTTACCTTTGCACAAGGGCCAGTACTGTGTTTTAGTTGAAATATTACACACAGAATTAGTCAAGAGTGCTAAGGTAGGTGGACTCACTAGTTTGGGTTATGTAGCATGTGATCACCTCGTGTCAAGCATTGGAATTACTTCAATGGAAAAAAACAACAATATTTATGTCTGGATTCTTAATTTCATGGGTTATTTTCGTGCATGCATATTTTGTGCTCCATTCTTCCCCTTTTATTTGAGTGAGATTGTGACACATTACCCAGCTTTTATTTAAGTATACTTTCTCTTCACTTTTTCCGCTGCTTGCAACAGCGTTTGTGGGCAAGTATTTCTTCACACTGAGTTATTGACTGACCCTCAGCAGGCATATGGAGCATAAAGAACGGAGGTCCTCTCAGCACCACCTCCTGCATGATGATGGAGAAGCTGTACACATCGCCCTCATGAGTACCAGACAGACCAGGGTGAGAAGTACGCAAGAGCTCTGGAGCAGTCCACAGCAAATCTGCAGACAGAGAGATGGACACACACACACACACACACACACACACACACACACACACAGAGAAAAGTAGATTTAACTATTGCATTAAAATAAGTAGTGCATATTACAAAATGTGTCATGTGGACTACATGTTGAACCCTTATAACATCAAATAAATCAGACAAGTTCTGACAGATGTCTGAAAGCCTACAAATTCAAAATAATGTGCTGACTTTAACACTGGAATTAAGAATCTTATATAGAGTGGCCCCAAAAGGTATTTGGACGTTTGTGCAATACTTAAAAATGTATTCAAGTCATTATGTTAGTACGGAGCCCTGCTGGTGACATCCTGTATTAAATAAAATTAATGTCAGTAAGGCATGGGAACGAGATAATTACGTCTTGGCCACGACTTAATAAGGGGTGGGAAAGAGAACATGCCTTATTAAGCTATGTTCAAGGCTTAATTATCTCATTCCCACTCCTTACTAAGTCGTGGCCACACATTATTTTTATTTATACGAGATGTCACCAGCAGGGCTCTGTATGTTAGTCAAACTAAGTGGCATTGTAAACAGACAATTATAAGACTAATTTTTATTTTGGCAAAGTATTTTTTCAAAAGGCTGCTTTTCAGGTGTTTTTGTTTGAGAAGTTTCTTAGCAGACGTCTGCAGGTTTGCATCCAAAATGCTTTTATACCTCTGAGTTCATGATTCCATCAATAAACATGAGCTCACCAGCAATTTTGTAAGAAAAACTTAAGGTCCAGACTTTTCCACTTCTGTGCTTTACAGTGCAGTCTGGTTGGAGTTCTTCTCTAGGATTTCTCGACATAAAGAGTCTACTGTCAGTTTGATACCATGCTAAAATTGTTTTTGTTTTTTTTGAAAGAAATATAATTTTGTTAAACATTTTAGGAAATAACCTAAAGTTTAGCCTTGCTCAAATGGTTAAAGTGTCCAAATACTTTTGTGGGTACTGTATAGCTGGTGTAAGTCAAACAGGAACTTACCCAGACCTAGAATATATTCTATGTATACATTCTAATATGTTATTAATAGGACTCCTATGTGGCCTATTGATGGCTTTGTTTTGGTACAGTAGAAGCTGGTATTGTGAGCAAATTCAGTGTGAATCCTTTCATACAACAAGCAATGAACTACATTACTATACAATATATACGTCTTCTCCCGGTCTGGGACTTTCTAATCACTGTTAAGAGACACTAGGTGACCAATCAGTTACATCTACAGTTCAGTTAACTACCAGTTCTAGTTCTAGATTTGATGATCTCTAAACTATACTATATACAGTATATCATACTTACTATATACATCATTAACTTACCCTCTGCTTTGGGTTCTGTGTAAGGGAACTTTTGGGCCTGGAGAACTTCATTGTAGCCATAGTCAGTTACCTTCAGTACAAAGCGTCCATCTACCACACAGTTACGGGACTTGAGTCTCCCGTGACACACACCCTTGTGATGCAGATACTTCATGCCCTAACAAATCCAAATTAAGGCAAAAGGCAAATTAGATTTCTGCACTGGGAACAGATCTTGGTTGATCTTCCACCTAAGAAGCATTCAAATAACTTTTTAGCTAAAGTAGGTTGTGGTATCGCTAGTTTGATAAGTATATGTAGAACGCAGAGGTGGGTGGTAGTTTAAGTCTTATTTACTAAGTTACATGTGCTTAAGTAAATTTGATGGATTTGTACTTTCTATTCCGTTTACTTCTACTGGAACCGACTATATTCTCTGGTCCATGTCAGTTATTTAGGTACTAATTCCAGTCCCATTTTATTTATATAGCCCGTATTGATTATCTACAAATGCTCAAATTTTAATGAAACTATACGAAGAAATTTGGTTGATTCTCAACAGTATTAGGTTCAGAGTCAGGATTAGGACCAGGGTTTGAGTTTAGGGTAGTGAAAATAATGGTGAATTTAAAATTTAATTGAATGGTTAGTTTAAGATTTAAGATAAGCATCTACAAAATGTCTCCACTGAGCTATGCCCATAAAGTGTTAATTCTTTGTTGAATTTCTGTATATTAACATTGGTAAGAGCATCTATACTGCCTTGTGATTGGCCATACAGTGGTGCTTCAAAGTTTGTGAACCCTTTAGAATTTTCTATATTTCTGCATAAATTTGACCTAAAACTTTATCAGATTTTCCTAAGTCCTAATAGTAGATAAAGAGAACCAAATTTAAAAAATGAGACAAAAGTTTTAGACTTCATTTATTTATTGAGGAAAATTACCCATCATTACATATCTGTAGATGGCAAAAGTATGTGAATCTTTGCTTTCAGTATCTGGTGAGACCCCATTGTGCAGCAACAACTGCAACTAAACGTTCCTGCACATCGGCTTTGTGGAATCTTTGCCCATTCCTCCGTACAAAACAGCTTCAACTCTGTTATGTTTGTGGGTTTTCTCCCGTAAACTGCTGCTTCAGGTCCTTCCACAACATTTCTATATGTTTAAGTTAAGGACTTTGACTTGGGCATTCCAAAACATTAACTTTATTCTTCTTTAACCATTCTTTGGTAGAACAACTTGTGTGCTTAGGGACATTGTCTTGCTGCATGACCCATGAGTTTCAGCTCACTGACAGATGTCCTGGCATTTTCCTTTAGAATTTGCTGGTATTTTTCAGAGTTCATTGTTCCATCAACGTTGGCAAGCTGTCCTGGCCCAGATGCAGCAAAACAGTCCCAAACCATGATACTACCACCACCATGTTTCACAGATGGGATAAGGTTTTATGCTGGAATGAACTGTTTTCCTTTCTCCAAACATAACGCTTCTCATCTAAATGAAAAAGATCTATTTTGTTCTCATCTGTCCACAAAACATTGTTCCAATAGCCTTCTGGCTTGTCTTTGTGATCTTTAGCAAACTGCAGACGGGCAGCGATGTTCTTTTAGAGAGCAGCTGCTTTCTATTTGCAAACCTGCCATGCACACCATTGTTGTTCAGTGTTCTCCTGATGGTGGACTCATGAACATTAACATTAGCCACTGTAAGACAGGAAAACAGGGTGGTCACTCACACCTGATTGCCATCCCATTGACTGAAAACACCTGACTCTAATTTCACCTTCAAATTATCTGCTAATCCTAAAGATTCACATACTTTTGCCACTCACGGATAAGAATGTTGGATCATTTTCCTCAATAAATAGATGACAAAGTGTAATGTGTTTGTCGCATTTGTTTAATTTGGTTCGCTTTATCTATTTTTAGGACTTGTGTGAAAATCTGATGAAGTTTTAGTTCAGATTTATGCAAAAATATAGAAAATTCTAAAGGGTTCACAAACTCTTTGAAACTTTAGACCTTTATTTTAGCCCAAGAGTGTATCAAAAAGAGAAGAATAATGCACAAACCTCAGTTCTGATAATTACTGGATGTACTAATTAGTTCTATGAAGTGGCTTAAGTCATTTTTGTATCTTTCACTTCATCCTGAGTCTTATTATTTCACAGAAGTAAGAAGACTGTTGTGTGAATACAACTCTGGTAACAAGTTATCATGGCTTATAGTGTACCATTCACACAGATCATTCCATCCATAGCTTTGCCCTGTCTGTATACCTTGATAAGGTCCAACAGCAAGGAAGACTTGAACATCCAGTCCAGTTTAACGTCTTCATTGCGAAGCAAATCCTCTAAACTTCCACGAGAGCAGAACTCAGTCACTATGGCAAAGACACCGCAGTCATGGAAGAACCCCATGAATGGATTCAGGTTCTCATGACGGATGTCCCTCATCTGTTTGGGTAACAGTTACTGTCAGCAGATCTCAAAGACATACTATACCAGACGTGAAAGACGTCAGTTAAAGAAGCATACCAATTCGAAGACATCACTAGTCTTTGGATTGATAGAGCCAAAATGTCCATATGGCAGCCTCTTCAACCAAACCCAATCGCCCTGCGTAAAGTAATAATAATACAGAAACACAGTACAGAATATATTTTCCTGGCTTACAAAATGAAAACTGGATTAAAGTGTGATGTAGAATTAACTCCAACATACCTCAAATATGGCCACATTTGAGTTTTCATAGCTGGGCTCAGTGGGGCTGGAGGCGAAGAGAGGTGAATTCATTCCACTGTCCATGTCTGACAAACGTCTCTCCAGTTCAGCCTTACTGTCCTCCAGACTCACCTTCTAAACCACCATCAATTAGGAGACATAATTTCAAATAGTTCTGAATAATTATTCAATTATAATCACCAGAAGGCTTTCAAGCTTTTCTTGTACAAGCCTAATAAAGCAGGCCTGTTACAATTATTACATAATCGCCTGATTGCAATTATTTCAGCTGATTGCAATTATTGTCCACAGTTGTTAGCTTTCACAATCATATGTTTATTTTGCAACAAATAGTATATAAACATCTGAGTTGGTGCTCTAACTCCATGCATAGAGTCCTATAAAGAGAGCAGCGATGAGTATTGTTTGTTTATTTGAGCCTGGGCTATGTCTGTCTTCAAAATATGGTCATGTGAAGAAGTAAGTACATCCAATGAAAACTTAAGACTTTAACATATTTGGACATATAGATGTTTGGTCTTCATTTAAACAATGTTTAGAGATAAAGTTTTTGTGATCCTTTATATGACTGAAATATATGCAATGCAATTTTCTTATGTCGGAAAAATAAGAACATTCATATGTCCCTACTTCAAACATGTCAAACTGAAATCAGGTGCATCCAATCAAGTGCTAATGCTTAGAACACTCTTAAAAAATATCTTGGAGCAACGTGTCGCATGTCAACCTCAGATATCTGGTCTGGTTTCCTCTTTGTTATTGGAGTATGTGGTACCATCATGCTTAGAACAAAGGATCTCTGTCAGGCCTTCAGTAGGAAAGTTGTAGATGCTTATGACTCTGGGAAGGGGTTTAAGAAGATATCCAAAATACTGGAAATCAATTATTCCACTGTCCAGAAGATCATCTACAAGTGGAGATTTAAAATCACTGCCAACATGTCCAGATGAGGCCATCGTAGCACATTTAACCCAAGAGCAGACCTCAAGATGCTAAAAGAAGTCTCTAAAGAACATGGAGGAATGGGCAAAACGTCCTAGTAGATGTCAGAAATGGGTAGATAGTTACATGAAAAGCCTACATAAAGTTGTTTCAATTTTTTAACAGAAAAATGACATTTTATAATTGAATAATTGATTTAATTTATTAAATGTCAAATTTCCATTGTACTGAAAATAAAATACTAACAAATGTCCACATATGTGAAAAAAATTTAATTGGGTGTACTTACTTCCTGTGACTATAATTAATCAGCCACTTTAGGGTTGTACTTTAGTAGAAGCATACAATAAACAAAAAGACAATTCAGTTGTAAACCACAATCATTTATACAGCAATTAATCATCAAGATTTCATAATTGTGACATGGCTACATTAAAATACATTTAAACATGCATGGAGTAGACTTACTGATGTAATGCACAATGGACTAAAGCAAAAATGGCCAAACATGTTATAAAATAAGACATGAACTTGGCTACCATTTGAGAGCTTTTGAATTTTTTTGAAGCAGTAAATTTCATGTTGGCTTTATGCAATACCTCCAAATGCATATAAAACATGTACAACAGAAAATCGTCCTGTTAACTGGAGAAAGTCTTGAATGCAATCACAAGTGATCTCTTATCTAAGTAAGATTGATTGAAGTGTGTTTATGCATGTTGTTTCCATTCAGAGAACATGTGATGTCATCAGTATGACACTGACCTTGTGACTGAGGGAAGGGTTGATGAAGGTCACATCATCCAGAGTGAGGAGGATCTTATTGGGACCTTTAACCATTCGAATCTTACTGATGCGACGTCTAAATGTATAATTCAGATGGAAAAATTTGCAACAGAAAACAGTATCAAAGTGTCAGTAGAAGAATGTTATCTGTGAGTACAGTGCAATTCCGCATCTTATTAAATACATTTTTGCAAAAATATTTATCTTCAGTTGGTAGTTTTCTAACAGCAAACATACCTTATACAATATCCAAGACTGGTTGCAAGGACAATTACAAGAAGTGCTGACATGAACACCTCAAACAACAGGAGAGGATCCACCCCTGAGAAGGAAAACAAAATTTGACAATTCTGTTTGATAACTGAGAAATACTATATCCAGTAAAAACAACATTATCGTCTTTTCTGAAATTAGTCCACCAATAACAGCATTTCTGAACTGATTGAAAACTCGACTTTATGTTCCCATTCAAAGAGACTCTAACGTTTTCCTTAGCAGCCTTAACATGTTTTTAGAGATTAGATATATGACCATCCATTTGCATAAAAAATGGGAAAGTCAAATGAAATGAATTAAAAAAAGTTAAAGATACGTTTTTCGCCACTGAAAAATCAATAAATACTTAATGGCAGATTAGACTGCAAATTAAATAAATGAAGCGTTATTTTTACACAGTACTGTACATATTTCCAATCAAAGGGCATGTATTATTTAAGTGTGGCTCAGTCAGCTTGTGATATATATATAATCATACTCAGAAGTTAACTATTCTTAGTACTAAACTCCCCAGTACTTTTTAAATTCTTGCCCTCACTTGTGCTTACCTCTGGTACAAAGTGGTCCTCCAGGAGTGAACCAACAGCTGGAATCAGCTTTGGGCTGTGCACCGCCAGGGAAGTGTATAGGTACACCCAGGTACCGAACCATGTTCGCCTCTACATCCACACTGTACGTGGGATGCAGCTCCCAGGACTGACCATTTGTATCAAGAACCACATAGTTCAGTAGGCTAACTCCAGAGCCATTGGTGCGAACCTTCTGGCTGAAACCTTGGAACACCAGGTTCCCTGTGTGGCGGGCTAGATTTGCTCCTGAGAACATGCTAGTAGATTTGTGAATGTTCTGCAGAGTATTAGCCATGAAGATGATAGAGGTGTAGATGGTGCCAAAAAGAGGAGACACCTACAACAGATGTAGTGCAAAAGAGACATTTAAAAACCTGTAATAATGTAAAACATTAACCAGAAAGACCAGAAGAGCATAGAAAAGAACCTTTGCAGATGTCTTGATGGTTGAGCAAATTAGCTTCCAATACCCTTAGCTAATTGGCTTAAAGTTAACACTTTGATTTTAGCATTATACCTCATGAGGCTGGATGCTTGCAGGCATCTCCTTGGACTTGATGGCATCTTGGTAGGCCTTGTAGAACGAATTCTCCTCTGAGTCCATAGTAATTGTCAGCACAGCATCATAGGCCAGCCTTAGCTTACTATTGCGGCGCAATGCAGGATGGAGCACCTGCTTGTATGGTAGGCTGTACAGTAGTGTATCATAGGGCACAAAGACCACTGAGCCATCCGTCAAGTACATGTCCAGAGCTGTCTCCAACAGCAGCTTTTGAGTTACCCCACCAATCAGGGCAGAATGCATGCAGAGTATCACCACTAGGGGGGATTAACACAGAAGACAAGTTATGGCTCTCCAAAGGTTAGAGGTCTTCAACTCTGGATCTTACAAATCCAGGACCAGAAACTGGATTAAAGGCTCTGATTTTAAGACCTCTGTTTAATAGGTTTACTGCACTACTGTCTCAGGATCAGGAGTGAAGACTCCTTTAAGCTGATGGAATGAGATCTTTCAGAATACACTGTATGTCCTGTACATATTTTGTATGCATCTGTGTTCAGGTCAGTTGGACCCCAGGCTGTATAAAACATAAGAAGTACAAAAGAAATATAATTTTCTACACATTTGTTTTGGTTGTTTTGGATGATATTGAGGTCACTATAACATCTTCAAAACAATTCCATCTGCTTTATGTCTTTAACATTAATATACCTGTGATGTGAACCACTGATAGTTCACAAGACATAGGGGAAGGGAAAACATAATTCCCACGAGAACTGACATTAGGTTTAAATCAGATTGACCCCAAGGATAAAAGATGTGAGTAAATCTGACAATAACAGGAGGATTAAGATACACAATTACCCTTGTAGACTTGAATGCATGTTGGTAATTTCTTAATAACTACACCTAGTGTTGGCATAAGCCTTACAGAGTATTTGGAACAGTCACTAAATTCATCAACACTTACTGCGAAGCTCTTTCAACTTCTTGATCTTACTGAGGGAGTGGCGTATACTGGAAGGGTCATTGCTAGTGGAGAGCACCATCCTGACAGGAAAACCGTGGCTTCTTAAGGCATCAGCTACCTTGTTGGATGTATCCATCCACACATCATCAGCCGAGGCCACAATGGCTATATTTGCCCAACGGAAATGACGTGCCAGTATACGCAGCACCCAGATCGGTGAGGGCATCGTGCGGACAAAAGTTGGGTGACGCCAAGAGCTCTCCAGCTCATGGTTCACGCAGGACCAGGAGAACAGTGCCTTGTTCCAGTTCTTGGCAATTAGAGAAGCTGCCTCACAGTATCCAGGGTTTATGGGCCCTAAGAAAGATGAAGCCTGTGTGTAGTAACCCATAAAGCCTCTCAAGGCCATTGAGGTCTGGCAGTCTTCTTCCAGGATGACATAGTCAAAAGTGATACCCATGGACAGTGAGTGATCCTTGTTGATCCTCTGCACAGCTAGCTGAGCCGCAACTCCAGGCATGGCCTTGGCAAACATGGGGTCACAAGACCACGGCCCTAACACTCCAACCCTAAACACGGCAGCTTGAACTATGTAAGGGACACTGAGGTTTGCAAGGAAGAACCAGAGGAGCCAGGCTCCATGTAGCAGACAGGGGATTCCAGGTTGCTTCACGATGGGGGTTAGCATACCGTAGGCCAGCCACACGTTCAGTGGGTGATGGAAGTTTCCCGAGAGCCGCAGCAGCACGGACTCCCATCACCCAGGGCCGGATGCCGGATGCCTGATGCACTATGCTGGAAAGTGCACTTTTTCCTTAAACCTCAGATCCTGTAAAACAGAGTGAATATGACTCACTGCGCACGTCTTCAACAAAACATCCTTTCACTGTGTGTGATGAAATATCTGGTAATCTCATCAAACCAAAAGGGAAGTGATGTGCATAAAATAGCATTTTTTCCACCTTTTTTAATCCCAGAAACTCTGGTGCGCAGGCTATTTTGTCGGTTCATCCAGTCACCTTCATTTCTTAAAGCTGCAGCCAATCCTACAGCTTAAATCCATGATTCACCTGCTCTAGATTTCAGTTAGCTTATATGATTTAGACTGCCATGCATGTCCAAATGTATTGCAGATAAATGCACATAAGGGAGCTTTCTGTTATCTCTCCCCAGGAAGTACTTATTTGAATAAAAAAAAGTCAATTGACTTTGAATTGTTTGCTAGTAAAGTACTTTATGAAATTATCTGGTTATTTTTCAAAGCACAAGCGGTGCCATTCTGAATGCACACAAAACACAGAAGCTAACTCCACTTGTTAAAAAAAGCCCAACAAAGAATTTAATGGAGAAGTTATAGATAGACTCACTAAGATTACTCAGTGTTGGTACATAGTATATTTCATTCACAATAGTTTATTTATAGAACTCTTTGATATTGGTTGCAAATGTATGGTCCCTTTTTGAACCATGTACACATTATAGACAGTGTCCTGCTTCTTATGATGCAGAATCCAATTAAAATTATTTCATAAATATTTTATATTGGTCAGATGCACTTACCATGCCATATGGAGTGATGGAAGAACTGCGTAGTCCTTCCGTAACGCAGCTAAGCTCCACATATTTCACACAGTCATTGGGGTCCAAGAATTTCCGCAAAAATACATATCGTTGCAACACTAAGCTCTTAAAAGTAAAGGAAAATTGTTTGAAAATATTATCCTTAAATAAAAACAAGAAATACACAGAGTAAGAAAGTGTTTTCACAGGTTGTGATGCATGTAATCCATTCAGTCAAGCTGCATCAGGCGTATGATGGCACTACAGATTTAGTCTGAGTGACCTGAAGATTATAATAATTCCCTCCCATTATTCGTGCAAGCTCTTCCTCAGGTATCTCTCTTTTTTCCAATGACCAGGCAATTTTGGCAGTGATGAATAGCAATATTTTATGTCTTGATAATGTATATAACACATCAACAAGAGCTAAGAACTGCAAATGTTTTATTATTATAACACCCAAATCATTACACCCAATTCACTGTTAATGCCTAATTTGTCGTTACATGCATTGTACCACATACGGGTAAAAATTGAATACTTTCAACATTTGCAAATCTACAGCAGTATCATGTGGAAACAGTCATCAATATACAGCATTATTATGCAGCATTTTTATGCTGTTTGACAAAATGTTGAACTCACTTAAAGCAGGCCAGAAGATAAGTGCCCAGGAACATACAATATAACATTTAGACAAGATATAACTAACTCTTTCTGTACTTATATTTACATATAAAGCTTTTTTTCCTGCAATTTGCAGAATATAAATCTCCACTTATTGAGCTTATATTTGAGTTTTTAGTTACGAAAAAAGAATCATTTCAAAGATTTCAAACAAAATCAGAATTGTCCAAATTACTATATACTGAAACAACAGATATTTACAAGCTGATTGTTCACAAGCTTAAGCAAGCAAAACTGTGGCAATGTGATTTTCAGCCAAGACAACATCGATAACAACAGAGCCACAGATATGGGTTCAAGGACCATGTGATTGCATCATGTAGAGGTTTTTGTAACTAGTCAGCTCTGCAGGCCCTGTAGCTGTAGGCTTTGAGCTCCTCAGAAGCTCTGTGGCTGAGATTCGGCTCCCGGAGCTTGCCTTGGCACTTCTTGTTCTTCTCAGGAGAGCCATGAAGTTGTCATTCTGGGAAGTAGTCTTGGAAACGCCACCAATCGTCTGAGTGCCCAAGTCACCCTGCTTGTTATCAAAGGAGTCTTTGCGACCCAAGAGTTTCCTCTTAGACCTGCCAAAAAGCAAATTATTTGGAATATTTGGAAAGCGCAAAGACAGTTATAAAATGTAAGGTATCAAACAGCACAAGAGCTACACAACATCACTGCTGGAACAAAATCTCCTTGTATCTCCATTTTGATTTTTAATTTTTGTTTTTTTACTTAATTTGAAAATTCCACATGCTCTTTACATTGTGTCAAAATTTCAAGATGAGAAGAAAAAACTGCTTGGAATAAAATCTTTTAATTTAAGAGTTAGGAACATTTTTCCGTCTTCTACAAAATGACCACTTGGGAGAATTTGTCCTGGCAGTCACAATAAAGACAAACCATTTATAAACGTTTGATAATTTAACTGCTACTAACTTACCTGTGAATAATTGTGAACAAGTCTTCTGTTGTGTGAGATGCGGACTTGTGAAGAAAAACGTCATCCTCTTCACTCCCCAACTGCAGAGCACTAACATCTGGCACGTGTCCCTCCTCTGTAACTCTACGATATGATTCATGCTCTGGTCAAGAGAAATGAGGGATCAGTTATCTAAGACTTCATAAATAAATGTTAAAAACATTCATTCTACAATCATCATCATTACAAAGTCCTTACCAGGTAAGCTTGGTACATTTGGTTGTTCTCTTTCACTGTCATGTAGGTAAGTGGGAATGAGTCCATATACTGTGACATGATATTCCTTTTGAGAGCTTTCAGGCTGTGAATAACTGAGAGGTAGCTGGGCATGCTTATCCAAATTCCCCATTACAGATGTGTTATCACAAGGTAAGTAGACCATATCAGGTCTCTTTGCAACTGGAGGACCTGGTGCTCTTCTCTTCTTTTGGGGTTCACTTGGTTTGGTGTGGTTGGCAGTGTTGAAGGGTAGCATATTTGGGGCCCCAGAATTGCATAGGGACTGTGGACGAATGGTCTCCTTTATATGCTGTTGAGACTGAAAATCATACTGCTGCTGGACCTGGTGATACTCATGGTCAATACCAGAATTAGACAGCGATGGAAGAACAGCGTTTGACTTAACCTTGTTAACAGTTGAATAAATGGCATCTTGTCCAACACTGGTAGTGGGTGGTGGAAGGTCTGCACTAGATGATGTGCCCAAACTGGACTTTGCCACAGCATTAGGTGGCCTTTTAGACACAGGTGGCTTAGGTGCTACAGGGGGTTTAGCTTTAGGACTCTGCTGAATAGTTGCAGAGCTTCCATCCTTTTCATTCTCCTCCTCTATCACACCAGAGACAGCTGTGTTGTCCAGGTCTGAGCTACTGACAGAACGCAAACGCACATTGTTCAGGTCTTCCTGAGTCACCATGGGCATTATCACCATACTGTTGCTCAGTCTTTGCTTAGGTCTTGTGGTGGCAGATGTGTCTGAGTAGCGACGATTTGCTTTTGGATGGACAGGGGAGGGTTCTGGATTAGGCATAGGTCTGGCTTCTTGCGTTTCAGGCAACTGTAGGGATAATCTTGTCCTGCTGTTCCTTGCCCGTTGGCCAGGAACAGCACTGGAAGGTTTGGGACGCATCCTGCAGCCAAGAGGAGAGGGTCCTGTTATAACTGACTGAGTGGGGGTCTCGCATTGGCTTGAGTAGCCACTGGAGGGGGAGGCTGACCCGGGTGGTTTGGTAGGGGAGGAGATGGAGGGTTGAGAGGGAGAGGACCGGGAGGATGATGGGGAGTTGTTGCAATCAGAGTTGTAAGGGATCTTTGTGGCTTCATTTATGGAAGTTCCTGTAGAGGGGCCTGAGCTAGACTTGCATGGTTCACTGGACTTCAGCTCTTTGAGTGGCTTGTGGCTGGAGATTGGCTGACTCAGTGGAACTTTTCCTGATCCTTCAGCAGCATGAGTGGACTGCTCGGAGTTGCCAGCCTCTGCCTTAAGTACCGGAATAAGGTCCGGAAGGAGCATGACATTCTGGGCCGTCGCTGGGGATGTAGAGGCTCTGTGTTCTACGCTCTGGAGGTTTCAAATCTACAAGCTTGTTCAGGGACACAGTCCGTACAGGTGGGGCTGGTTTCCTTTTGGCCTTTCTCAGAACAATGCTGCGGGCCCTGGACTGAGGCACTGCATCAGGAAGATGATCTCCTTTCCTCACAGAGGTGCTATCACTGCCACTGTCCTCTGAGCTGCTGCTGGGATAAGACAGGGCATAGCTTTCACATCGTCGGCGAGTTACAGCTGGGTTGGAGGTGATGGCTGTGGAAAGGGACAATGAACGTCGGTGGGGCTCCATGGCACTGGCAGGTCTGCTTCTGCGCTCTTTCTGCGAGGTGCCTGTGCCAACCCGTTCTTTATCCCTCCTTCTAATGACTGTGGAGCTGGTTGGTGGGGACTGGCAGGGTTCCTCTGGATCTTGGAATTGTGGAGGGGGTTTGATCACATCAGGTGCCAAAAGATAGGAGTTTAAGGAGTCATCCCACTCAGCCGAAAAAGTCGAGACGTTGGGGCCAGTCCAGGTCTGGGATGGGCAAAACAGGGCTGTGTGCTCCATGTTTCTTGAGGAAGCCAGCCTAGTCTTTGGGATTTGTGTCAAAACTGATTCTTTTTCAAATGTGGTGGGATTCCATCATTTCCTTAGGATTTTTCTTCTGTGCATTGTGAGAAATACACAACCTGCAGTCATACAGAGAAGTGTTCAGTTCAGCACAGTATGGTGTAACCCAAACAAGTCAAATATTTAATTTGTGCTATTTAAGACTTAAGTGACTCAGTATAATTCATTGCTTGAAGTACCAAGAGATGAGATCACTTTCTAATCATTTTGAAGCAAGGAGAGGGGGAAAGAAAAAGAGAGAGAGTGAAAATATCAGCCTATCTGGATCTTTGTTTGGCACATGAGTGGGTGTTCACCATGGCAACAGTTACCTGTTCAACCATACACAGCGCGAGAGCAGACCTAAAAGGAATCTCTACAGTAGCTATATAATGTGTGTATATAGAGCTAGATGTAATGGTGAACAGTGGATGTTAACACTGAGTAGGATGCCACACGCAAGATAGGAAGACGAATACACACAAATCGCACCCAAATTCCATGTAAAGCAGCTCTCAATCTATCTATGAACACTAGCTAAACACGCAGATTGTGAGAGAGACGTCAGAAATGCTGTTAATAATATTTGGACGGTTATATGTAACACAATAACCTAAGAATGTTGAAATGTAACATTTCTGGAACTCTGTGTTTGTGTTTATTAAGCTTTTATTGCAGTTTAGAAATGTCATGTTCATTTCATTTCCTGAATTCCTCCCATTCTTACTCGTCCTCTCTCTTTCTCTGCTTTACATAAATACTCTGCTGCATCAATAGAGCAACACAGCTCTGTCTCAGATAAACAACAATCAGTGCAAGGGCACAGATGAAGTATGTAGCACCTCATCACAAGACCGACATCACCCTTGACCTACAAACAACTTCACAGTTTAGTGCAGTAAAAAAAAATGCATCCCAAATAATACTCGTATAAAAACACCAAGTGCAATACTAAAAGGCCTGCAACATTTCCAGGTCCACTTCTTTTTTAGGCACACTCATGATGTTTGTGTGGTTTTATGTACCAAAAACAGTCATAATTCAATTAAAATGACCGTTTTCAAACCTCTCCTTGTTGCTTAGAATTAAACAGGCCGTTTTTCACACTGCATCTTTAAAAATGATATATCATGATATATTAAAACTGATGTTATCTGTTTTGATTGGCCACCCTGTATTGTGTTTTATTCAAAAAGCGCAAAAAGCAGTCCAGGCTGAAACACTCCTTATAACTTCAGCGTGAATGGGTGAAGCTAACCTACTGTAGGCCAAATCATGACATCACAGAATTCAAAACAGGCTGTTTTGCAGCTGAGTTTCCTTATATGGGCTGCATGGAGTGAACAACACATTTTGAAACTTTAACATGTTTACATACTACATCAAAAAAGCAGTGAGAATATGAAGAATATTGGTACTCATTCACTATTGACAAAAAACCTTGACGTGAAAGCAGGAAAAGTTTCAGCATTTCAGCTGTTGTAACATTTAATAATGACTAGAAATTCACCAATAT